TGTTGCTTTGTGTTCTTGTACAGCCTGAATGGCTGGTGACTTTTGTGTATAGTACCTTATATTATCCTTTCCAGAGTCTCTGGGATTGCAGGAATGTTAATCTGGGTATTCCATTGCTGCAGCAGGTCACAACCCCATAAATTAATTCACTGGATTTTACCCACATATGGCCTCAGCCTTCCTCTCTGTCCTTCTGGCCTTAAGCATTCAACTGATCTCGTGCTTTGTTTCACTTGAGATAGGGTTCCAGTTCCTAGGAATTGAACATCTGTCTCTTCAAAGAGGCCAATTTGGATGCCAAGATTCTGGAGTTGTGTTACTCACGTCCACACCTGTATTTACCAAACCCACAATTACAATATCATTTACGTGCACTCTTAGCTCATCGTCTTGAAGAATCAATTAGCCCTTGGAATTCTCCTGTATTTGTTGTTACAAAGAAATCTGGTAAATGGAGAATGGTGACAGATATAAGAGCTGTCAACCAGGTAACTCAACCTGTGGGCCCTTTACAAAGAATTCCTCTGCTTTCTCTATTACCAAAAGGATAGTTATTATAGTTATTGGAATCACTTGTAGGGATATAACTTTAGTTATTGAGTTAAAAGATTGTTTCTTCACTATACCTTTACAAGAAAAGACAGAAAAAATTTCATTCTGAGTGCCTACTTATACTAATTCTCAGCCTATTAGGAGATACCAGTGAACCGTCCTTCCACTCACATTGGGCGCTAGATGAAGATGGACTCTAAAAAGAAATCCCACAATAGCTCAGAATTAAGTATAATAAAGGGTTATTTATTTAGGGGTGTGTAACAGGAGGAGTGGGCCTGCTTTTGGTCCTGGCCGTCCTGCTAGCTTACACCCAAAATAATCACACAGAAATTGTATGAATTAAATCACTGCCTGGCCCATTATCTCTAGCCCCTTATTGGCAATTTTTTTTTTTTTTAATTTTCGAGACCGGGTTTCTCCATAGCTTTTGGTTCCTGTCCTGGAACTAGCTCTTGTAGACCAGGCTGGCCTCGAACTCACAGAGATCCACCTGCCTCTGCCTCCCTAGTGCTGGGATTAAAGGTGTGTGCCACCACCTCCCGGCTTTATTGGCTAATTTTTACATCTTAATTTAAACCATTTTTGTTAATCTGTGTATTGCCACATAACTGTGGCTTACTGGCAAGATTCTAACCAGCTTCTGTCCCAGGCAGAAGATCCATGGGCGTTCTCTGTCTGCCCTTCTTCTCAGCATTCAGTTCTGTCTACTCTGCCTACCTAAATGCTGCCCTATCAAAAGACCAAAGCAGTTTCTTTATTCAACCAATGAAAGCAACACATAGACAGAAGAACCTCCTACACCATTTTTCCTTTTTCTGTTTAAACAAAACAGAAGGCTTTAACTTTAACATAGTAAAATTACATATAACAAAACAGTTATCAAGCAAGAATTACAGTTACAATATTTATATTTTATCTTTTATAATAACTAAGGAAAACAATATTTATAAATTCTAAAATTCCACCAAAGACTCCAAAAGGATATAATATTACTTAAGTAAACAGTACATTATAAGCAACTTTCAAAACTCTAGAAATGACAGAGACATCTCATTTCCTGGACAGTCATCCAAAGATTTTTTGTACCTTTGGGGCATCCATCTTTAGCCTATAGGCCCATAGTATCCAGCAGAGATTTTTATGAAGCAGGAAATTTTAAAGACAGTTTAGTCACTTTTTTTGTGTGTCCTGCAGGATGTCTCGCAGACTCTTATGAAGCAGGAACCCCGAAGGATCATCTCACCTTTTGGCAAGTTTAGCAGTCATCTCTTTGCGGGTACTACATGTTCAGTGAAGCAGTCCAGGCAAGAGTAGTTTCTTGCCCAAATGGCTGGCAAACTCCATAAGGAGTCTCTTTGATGTCCGTCTTCCTCTTGAAGTAGATTGGTGCTGCCAGGAGCAGATATGTCTCATTGTCATGAAAAGTCCTAAGTTAGTAAAACATTTTAAATGCCATATTCTGTAGTCTTTGAAAGATATGAAGAATGTCTATCCATCTGAAATATATCTATGCATATCTAGAAAATCTAACATGACTACAAATACAAACTTGACTATTATAGATGATTATCTATTAACAATCTATATTTCTTAATTATTACATTTTTCAATGAACTACACAACCACAATACCTTAATCAAGATCAGAAATACATATACATATAACAAAATTGACCTTAAATTTATATCAATTAATCAAGATTTATACTAATGCAAATTACTCATATCTATATCCTCCTACACCAGGGGTAGACTCACAGATCACAGTCCTGCATGAACGGGGAACAAGAACCAAATCCAGCAGCTGGAAGAGAAAGGGAACGTGCTTTACATTGGCATTTATAGCATAAGAGGCCACACCCAAGTGGGAGGGTAACTTAAAGGCTACTGGCTATAGCAATCTCTCTTGGGTATTTTAAAGTGATTCGTGTTCTGGAGCAGTTTATTGAGAAGACTTAGAGGCTTATAAGCTCAGATCAGGATCATTGTCAAGAGATTGCCTGGATTCTTCATCCACCAACTGTGACTATGACCCTGATTCTGTTACGTGTCAGCTCCAAGTATATTTTTATACGTTTTAATTGATCTATAAGAATAATAGTCTGTGCACGTGTGTGCGCGCACACGTGCCTTTGTGTCATGTTTTCTCATTCTGTATTGTTGAAATTAGGCATTGGTTTATACTGTAATTGCTAACTAGTATTACATTAAAATATTTTTAACGTATTTCTTTAATGATTATGTGTATCTGCGATAACATTTACAGCTGATTTTTGCTTTTATGTGAATTTTCCATTTAGCATTGTCTTGAGATTTAGTCATGTCGATATAGAGCTCTGGTTGATTTTATTTTTATTACTATAAAAAATTTTAAGGAATAAACTAATTTATTTGCCTTCATTAGCAGAATTTGATTACATAATGCACCTATTTCCTCGTGCTCGCCTCAGAAGCATATATATTATATATGAATATTTGAGACTTAGAACAGGTAAGAGTTTTCAAATAAGACACAGAAACACAAAGTTTTAACATAACAAAAATGTAGTGAACAGAGTTAAAGGACAAGCACTTGTTAATAGAGATTGTTGAGTCAAGCATACTAAATATTCACTATTTATGTGTGTATGTGTGTTCTCAGAAGCAGAATTTCTTTGTGATTGGGCTTGTACTTTTTTTTTTAACCTAACCAAATTACTCTTGAAAACGGTTGTACCAGTATATCTTGGACTGCTGCAATGGTCTAATCTTTAGTCCTTTTAAAAATATTCCTGTATTTAAGAGTTGGGATCTTACTTTGCAGCTTAGGCTGCCCTCAGTCTTGTGGTAACCCTCCTGTCTTTGTTTTTTTTTGGGGGGGGGTGTTTTGTTTGTTTTGTTGTTTTGTTTTTTTTAGATGGGGGTTACAGGTATGTGCCACTGTGTCCAGCTTGATACTGAATCTTTAGTAGGCTTGATTCATCCTCTATTAATAAGTGTTGTTTAACTTTGTTCACTTAAGTTTTTGTTGTATGTTCAAACTTTGATTGTGTTTCTGTGTCTTACTTGAAAATTCTTACCTGTTCTAAGTCTCAAATAATTTTAAGATTGACTATAGGAGAAAAGCAACTTCACAACCCAGAATCATGGCAGCAAGTCATAACAAAACATGATTTTAATTTTGTTCACATAAAGAGCTGACAATTCATGTATCCACCTATCAATTTTGGTAGTCTGTATTGTGTTCTTTTGGTCTTCTGTTCATGTTACACTGCTATAAGTATTACCACTTTATAATAAGTCTGTAATATCTGATCATTCAAATTTTGATCATACTTCACGTTTCTGAATTCCTGCTCTCTGCTTTCAATTAAAACTATGTTGTAGGGTCTAGTAAGGGGGCACCGTGGTTTTGAGAGCACTGTATACTCTTTAGAAGACTTGGATTTGATTCCCAGCACTCAAATGGTGGCTCCCAGGGAACCCAACTTTTTTGCTGGCCTTCATGAATATCAGGCATGCACACTATGAGTAGACATATATGCAGATAAAAACATCCGTACACATAAAATAAGAAATTTTAAATTAAATGTCCACCCCTTTCCCTACAGTTACTACAGCTGTAACTCTGCCATAAGGCTGGATGATGAGGAATTCAAGGTCATCCTTAGGTGTATAGCAAGTTTAAGACCAACTTGAAATACAATGAGACCCTGCCTCTAAAGAGCAGCAGCAATATCAAAAACCCAAGCAAATCAGTTTTTAAACTTAATTGAGTTTTTTAAAAAAGTATATTTTATAATTTATGTAAATTATTTATGGCTTTCTGATTTTTATTTCTATAATATTGGATTTTATTCAGGTTATGATAATGGCTAAGAATATGAAGCTTTCTTCTCTGCTATGAAGTTTTATATGTTTATCTTTATTCAGGAAGTTTGAATTTCTGTAGCTGTGATAATTTTTAATGGCTTCTTAGATTAGAAAAAAATTTATTAAACTGGATGTTGTAGCATACACTTTTAATCTCAGCACTAGGGAGGCAGAGGCGGGTGAATCTCTCTTAGTTTGAGGCCAGATAGAGCTACATAGGGAGACCCTGCTTCCAAATAAACATAGATGGTAGGTAGGTAGGTAGGTAGGTAGGTAGGTAGGTAGGTAGAATTAAAAAAGTTTTATTAAGATACTGTTTTAACAAAGAAAATGTCTTTTATCTCCTGAGAATCTAAAGCAATTTCAGGAAAAACTTGGTCCCACAGTATCAGGGTATAATAAACACCTCTACTTAGTTTTACCTCTACTTTAAAATTAGCTTTGGAAGGAAAGTGGATTGTCTGTTTTTTTTTTTTTTTTTTGGTCTGTACATCATAGTTAGTTTGTATAAGAATCTACCCACTCTCTTCCTCTTCCCATTTGGTATAGATAGTAATGCTGCTCTTGGATTTCACTCAGTTTATTTTCTTGTAGGAAACGCAGATCTGAATGGAGATGGGCTGCAGACCGAGCAGCTATTGTCAGTCGCTGGAACTGGCTTCAGGCCCATGTTTCTGACTTGGAATATCGAATTCGTCAGCAAACGGATATTTATAAACAGATACGTGCTAATAAGGTAAGGGATACATTTCTGGTGTTTTCTGATGAGTTTAAAATCTTCCATTACTTCTTTTCTTCCACCCCTTATCATTCTTTCAATAACTCTTTAACAATATCAAAATACATAGTTTAACTACTTGACCTAATAGTTTAATGGTCTAAGCCTGATGGTACTATAGTGTAGCTCAGAAAATAGAATGTAACGTTCACTTGACATGTGATTAGGAACAATGGAATCTGGGCCAATATGATTAAAAAAAAGGGGGGGGGCTGGAGAGATGGCTCAGCGTTTAAGACCATTGCCTGCTCTCCCAAAGGTCCTGAGTTCAATTCCTGGCAACCACATGGTGGCTCACAACCATCTGTAATGAGGTCTGGTGCCCTCTTCTGGCCTTCAGGCATACATGCAGAAAGAATATTGTATACATAATAAATAAATAAAGGAAGAAAGAAAGAAAGAAAGAAGTGAAAGTGAGAGATAACCTAAAAAAAAACAACAAAACAAATACTCTATCAATTGAGCTACATCCGAGCCTGTCATTNGTGGCTCACAACCATCTGTAATGAGGTCTGGTGCCCTCTTCTGGCCTTCAGGCATACATGCAGAAAGAATATTGTATACATAATAAATAAATATTTAAATAAATATTAAAAATATGATAAAAAGATACCATATAATATAACTACACACTATATTTCATTTTGAGAAAGGCATGAAGTCTGCTGCTTTTTCATTTTGCTTATTTGATTAGACATTCTCTATTATTGCTAGGCTTCTCTTTTTGGCAAAAAAAATTCAATAAAAGCTTATCAAAAGCTTAGATAAAACATAAGAATTTTATTTTCTATTTGGTTGCAGAGGACTGATTACCTTTACAGTGACATTGAGCAGTGTTTCTTCTTAAAAAGCTGTTTTGGAAAAAATGTTTTCCGTTTGTTTTGAATTTTACTTGAGAAATTATGCACAGGAAGCAAATCCCTCAACAATTACTGGGTGCTTACTATGTACCCACAGTGGTTTCTAGTAGGATATATTAGAGAACAAACATCCTGCTTTCATGGTGCTTACATTCTTCTTGAAAGCATTTTTTATAATAGTTGATGTTGAGGGCCAACTCAAGTCATCAGACTTGGTTGACAAGCCCATTAATCTGCTAAGTTAGACCATCAGTCTCATGCAAGCATTTTAAAGCTCAAGATGGAGGCTGAAGAGATGGCTCAGCGGTTAATAGTGTTTCCTGCTCTTCTGAAAGCATTCCTAGTATTCATGTTTGGCTTCACATCTGCCTGTCACTTTAGCTACGAGAAGTAAGGTGCCTTTTGGCCTCTGAGAGTATACGTGCATATACTTATGCTTATTACTAAGTCTTTTACAAATAGTGTGGGAGCTGCATGGCTAGTTCATAGCCTAGATAAAGCCTAATGCTCTTTAAAATGCCCTATGCTTGTAAAAAGTCTTTTTAAAAAAACTGTGCACAAGCGTACACACAAAAGCGTATGTGCTCCAAAGCAACACTTTAGGCGAGTTCCTTAGATGCTGCCCGTCTTTTCTTTTGAGACAAAGAGTCATTTGCGTCTGTCCTAGAGCTTGCTAACCAGAACTGGCAGACCAAAACCCTGGGGTTCTGCCCATCTCTGCCATTCTTGTACCTCTAGGATTTTAAGACTGCCCCCACTATACTTGACTTTCTATTTTGTTTTATTTACTTTTTTATGTGTGGGCCTTTGACAGTTGAACTCAAACAAGTTCATCAAAGACATAGCTTAAAGTACTCTTGTTCCCTGAATAACGTCTCTTAAAAAAAATTAATGGGGGCAAAACTAAAATATATTCCAATGTTAGTAAATATTTTAGTTTCTTTAAGTGGTTGTCACGGGAATTTTTTTAAATGCTTGGCATAGATTGTGAAGTGGGGTAGAAGCTAAGAAACTGTGCCTATCCCAAGTAAATTACTGTGTCACAGACACCTTTTCAGTGTCTACTTGGAGGCTTTTACAGCTAATAAGTGTGAATTTATATATTTGAGTTTCCTGAGTTTCCTGAGGCTAGTATAATATAGTCATTTTTGTTGCTTCTCCTATTTTACATACATTCAAAGCATGTACGTACATGTATGTTTTATAGTCTCCATTATAAAACTGATCCATTGTTACTTTGTATACCGTAAATATTTCAGCTCGACCTAGGGAATTAATAGCAATTATGAAATACATCTTGATTAAAATACCTAACAGACAGCCTGTGCCTTGCTCAAGAATCACATAAAGCTTGAAGGGACAGCCAAGTATGGCATGTACCATATACATATCATGCATGTAACATGCACACACAAATTATAATAAATTAGGTAAATAACTATAAAGTATACCAAAATTGTTGTATTCACTGTCCACACTGAAGAGCATATCTTCACTTGATGTCATCTACAAAGATACTACTTTGAAATAACTGCACAACCTCAGATTCTCAGCATGAATTTTGAAGGGGTAATCTTCAACTGTGCCTAGCAGCTAACTCTTAAAACTTTCTCAAATTATACATTACATGAATTTGATTTTTACATAGCACTATAATACGGACTTTTTTATTTTTGAGTGTTCCAGGTCCCCCTATCATAAGTATTTTAATGTTCTCCGTGTTCATCTTGGTTAATTAGTTTGGTGATTCTGAGGGTTAAGTTCTCCACCTTTGCATGTTCTGCACAATGACTAAGATTGTGCTCTATCTTCAAGGTCTCACTAAGTAACCCAGGTTGTCATTGACTCATTTAGTAGCCTAGACATGGGCTTGAACCATAAGACCCAACTCACACTTTAATTTTTATTTAATTTATTCCATAGTTTTAAATATAAAGAAACAAAAGGTCCTTTAAATGAACACACAGAGCTGAGATTTGAGTGCTCATCTCCAGACCTGTTGTTCAGTTTAGCAGTTATTTTAATTATTTACTTTTTTACGCACAAAGGGGGAGGATACTTTTCTCCTGTGATAGTAGAATGTGACAAACCTAGAAAAACAAGTATGCTAAGTCCTGCTAAATTTTGCTGTCATGATTTGCCAAGCTTGCATGAATTATATCTCCCCCTTTATGAGATGAGTTTATGTTTGGTGATAGCTATTGAGTTGTAAATTTGTCTTTGGGTACAATAGGGAACATGGAATTTTGTAAGTATTTGTCACGTTTTAGCATTAATTTTGTTGCAGATTAAAAAAACTCAGTTACATTTTCTGCCATCCTTTTGTTCACGAGGTGCTATTTAGCTCAGACTTGCTTCTACTTAGCTGGGTAACCGAGGATGACCATGAATAGCTGATCCTCCTGCCTCTGCCTTCCATACACTCAAGTTAAAGGTGTCTGCAATCATTTGGCTTTTTGTTTTTGTTTTTATGGTGGTACTGTGTTGTGTGTTTAGGTTTTTAATCAGTCTCTTACTGTGTAGCACACTCTAGCCTAGACCTCAACTTTGTAGCTCAGCTTATCCTCAGGTTTGGCTGAAGTTCTCTCTGCCTCTTTAGTTACTAGGGATTATAGAGTTATATATATCACTACTTCTGATTTACTTTGCTTATATATTAATATTTCTTTCCTCCTTTTCTTTCTTTGAGACTGGGTTTCTCTGTGTAACGTCGTTAATCTTGGAACTCTTCCATCTATAGACCAGGCTGGCCATGAACTCAAGAGATCAGTCTCTGCTGGGATTAAAGGCATTTATCCTTAACTACCGCCTGACTGATTTTGCCTTTCTTTTGTTTTTCTTTCTAAAGATATTTTTATGATTTATTTAACTTTATTTTATGTACATTGGTGTGAAGGTGTCAGATCCCGTGGAACTGGATTTATAGACAGTTGTGAGCTGCCATGTGGGTGCTAGGAATTGAACCCAGGTCTTCTGGAAGAGTGCTCTTAACTGCTGAGCCATCTCTCCAGCCCCAATTTTACCTTTCTTAAAAGTGTTGTATTCCAGGGGCTGGAGAGACACTCAGCAGTTAAGCACAGATTACTCTTCCCAGAATTTTCCCAACACCCACATAGCAGCCTACACCTGTCCATAACTGCAGTCTCAGGAGATCAGATACCTTCCTCCAGAGGTATTGTGCCCATGTGGTTCATAGATATAGATTCAGGCAAAATATCCATGTACATAAAATAAAAATGAAATTTTAAAAAAATAATAAAATTTTAAAGCGATTTATTCAGAAAAGGGGGACTATTGTGTTGCCGGGGGTTCCAGGGTTCAAAGTCTGATTTCTGTTCTAACAAAAGTTAGCTGGTAACATCTAAATCTTACTTACTCTCCCAAAGGTTTCTTTTGTTGTTCTCTGACAAACATGTATTTTCTAGTAATTCTTCCTACTCTTTTATACACTGTGGTATCTTTAGATTTTTGTTTGGAGCCTCAAACAGAGGACCTTGAACAACTTATTCTCTTGATTCTACCTCCTGAGTATGGTACCACTTGTTTGCCTTAAACTCGGTGAGGGAATTGAGGGCCTCATGCATGCTTATATTATTTGAATTTTCCTAGGTCAGCTAGTTAGTTCCCACTAACTAGCTTACCATTTGTAAGATGCTTCCTTACCTTAGAAAAGGGAAAACAATGTGTTTTAAGTTATAAAAATTCTTGATAAGTTCCATAGAGAAGTGCTAACGTAGCTTTCAGTTAAAATATTCTTTAGAGCAGCTAGGTTAGGAGTTGTCACAACAGCAGCTCAGAACAAAGGAAATTTTTTACTTTAAATACTTTAAAGGGGAGTGTTCTAATTTGAGATAAGCTGGTTTTGAACTATCCACCTTAGGGACTTCTGCCTTGTAAACAACATAGTGGGTAGTTTGTCTGGTGCACCTGGGATGGGAAAGAGGCTGCAGGAGGGTCCTGGCTAGTTCCCCCTACAGTAGCAGCATCTGTAATTTGACGTTCATGCTCTTTCTTATGTAGAAGTTCATTCACACATCTTTAAGTTCCAGAGGTGATATCTCTGGTTAGAGGCTTATATCAGACAGATAATTTTAAACTATCTTCACAAATATTTTCTTTTTAACACATTCTGTATGCTCTTTTGTTCTTTTCATCATTTCAACACATGTGTTGAAATTTCACATATAGTAATTAAAACTGAGGAAAAGCATAGAGACCAAGCTGGGTTTGATGTTAACAGCAACTTCTTTTTCATAAGCAATCTTGAGCATCCATTACTATTTTTTTTTATTCTTCCTGATTTGTCATCTGTGAAATTATACATCAGTTATTATAATGTAAGAAAAATTTTGAAGATAGATTAAAATGAAACCAAACCTAGTGGTGCATGCCTTTAATCCCAGGCAAAGAAAAACATGTTGGTCTCTGAGTTTGAAGCCAATTTGGTCTAAAAAGTGATTTCCAGTTCAGGCAGGGCTACACAGAGAAACTGTCTCCGTGGGAAATAAGAAAAAAGGGGTGGGGGTGGATACAGAAAGAGCTAAATCAGGCATGGTGGCTTAGGCCTGTAATTTTAGCACTTAGACTGAGGCACATGGGCATGCAATACACACACTGGATTTAATAAGATGGAAGGGAGATGAGTGGAATCAGCTGAAGACTTACACTTTAATAATTTATTTGACTATACACCTTTGTGGTCTCTCCCAATTCTTAATCTTTTGGTCCTTGTTTAAAAACAGAAATTAACCTAGATGAATATGATGGTACATACCTTCAATTCCAATCTCTTACAGGCTGAGATGGGAGAATTGTGAGTTCAGAGCCAGCATGAACTGCTTCAAGATCTTGTCTTGATTCCCCCATTAATCACCACTCCAAATACTTATCGCAGCCTCATGAGTTTCTTTTTATTTTCTGAGATGGGTCTCATATCCTAAACTGGCCTTGAACTGGAATTCCATCCAAGTTCTGAGATGATAAGCATTACCATTGTGTGCAGTTTAGATGGAACATTTTTCAGAAATAATGCACAAGAACACTGCCTTTTGCAAAAAGTTTTTTTAACTTTTAAGTGATAAGGTTTAGGGGGTCTGTTTTATATTTAACAAAATAGTAAGAAAATATTTTTAAGATTTATGTTTTTTGAGACCTTCCTTTCATTGGCCAGAAGAATGACCTTGAATTTGTGGCCTTCCTCTTGCATCATCTTCCTCAATGCTTTGTTGTTGTTGTGTATGAGCCATTATACTCAGATGGAAGTTTCTCTTAAATTTCATTTATGTGTATGAGTATTTTGCCTATATTTCTGTGCATCACTAGTGTGCCTAGTTCTCACAGAGACCAGAAGAAGGCACTGCATCACCAGGAACTGTTGTTACAGACAGTTGTAAGCTATCATATGTGTACTGGAAATTGAACATGAGACCTTTGGAAGAGCAGCCAGTGTCAAGAGGGAGAAGTAATGGGGATAGGGAGAGACAGAGACATAAGATCCCCTGGAGAAGCTGGTGAGCTAGACTGGCCCAAATTGACAAGCTCCAGGTTCAATGAGGGACTCTGCTTCTTTAAAATGTAGGGGGATTGAGAAAGACAACTTGACATTAACTTCATTAGATGCATTCATGCACACTTACTACACATACACACATGCCAGATAAAGCAAAGCTACTAATGTTTGGTTTCAAGGCTAAGTCTTATTGTGTATTTCAGTTGGGCCTCAAACTCAAGATCTTCTTGACTCCGGCCTCCCAAGTACTGGAATCATAGACATGTTCCACTAGCTAACTGAAAAACTTAATTTTGTTTGTTGTCATAACATCTTTCATATGATAATTATAAAGTCTGGATTTGAAATCGTTAAGCACAGACTCAATTTTAGGTATTATTTAGTTTCCAAGGAATCTACATTTGGGACGTATTTTAAGAAGTTTGTGGTTCAGTTGCACAGACTATTCCATTTGTCCTTGTTTGTATTTTTTTGTGCTCAGATAAAGTTCTTTAAGTTCATGAATTCATTATTCACAAAAGTAGCCCAGTGTAGTAATTATACACATTTATGATCAATTTAACTGAAAACCTTCCTTTGCTCATGTTAGCCTAATAAAATCTAGTTGATAATTTATCAGGTCCAATAAAATACTCTGATAAGATTCTAGATCTGGTAGGTCAGAATAAAAGGAGCGACATGTAAGATAAGCCCTGTAGGTGAATGAGGGTAAAGGAAAAGGAGGGTGTGAGGGTCTAAATCTTTCTTTTAAAATTACATTTATTTGTAGATGTGCCCACACACATATGCACACATATGCCACAGTGAGAACTTATAGGCCAAAGGACAGCTGATAGAATCAGCTCTCTTTTTCATGTATATCATCAGGCATAGCAGCAAGCTCCCCTACTTTCTGAATCATCTCTCTGGCTTAGATCTGAATCCCAACATCTTGCTGAATTTGTCACTGTTCCTCAACTTTTTGTTGAAGCCTTTTTGACAAGGTTAGAATCCAAGGCCTTGCACAGAAGGGTTAAAGTGCTCTATCACTGAGCTGTACCCGAAACCCTGAAAAAAATCTCAGGAGAGTAAAGCTACTGCTTTTCCAGGCTGTTTTTGAGCCATAGGTTAACAGAAAAGACCTGGTTAACAAATTCCCTGCCCCTACCAATTTCAGATTAATTCCTAAGCTTGCAGTTTATACCGCTCACACTGTTTTTTCTACTCTTTGTCCTACAGGGGTTGATAGTCCTTGGGGAGGCACCTTTCCCAGACCATACAACAGACTTATTTTCACTTAGTTCTGAGGTGAAGACAGATCATGGGACTGATAAATTGGTAAGTATAAAAGATAGAAAGGGGGGAAAGAAATAAGGTAGCTCTTAACAGGTCAAGCAGTTGTAACCAGCTCAAACACAAGGTTACAGAGTAGTGGTTGAAATCAGGGCACTGTACAGGTAACATGTGCATACAGTTTTGATAAGGTAACTCTTCTGGACCAGTATAGTGCCAAGAAGCTGCTGAGAGGGAGTTAGTTTTTTCCAGTGGAAGGCCACATATTCAGAAGAATACAGACAGCACAGTTGAACTTGGGGGAGGGGTTGGGAGTTCGAGATAGAATCTCTCTTACATAGTCCTGACTGTCCTGGAACTCATTATATAGATCAGGTTTACCTTGAATACACAGACCCTCCTGCCTCATCTTCCCAGAGTGCTGAGGTTAAAGGCTTGTCAAGACACCTGGCTCTTTTTTTAAGGATACCAATTTGGATGTGTAAGAAAGGGAAGAGTGGGTCTGGGAGAAGATGGACAGGTGTGCGTGGGTGTATGATCAAACACTGTACAAAATTCTCAAAGAACAAATAAAAGAGCAAAGGGGAAAATACTGGATTAGAGAATACTGCAGAAATACCAAAAACACTTTTGTGAATGATTCTTATTTTGTAATAAGAATAAAACTATCATCTTAATAATCTTTTACATTATTGGATCCTTTTTCATTTCTTTATCCTTTCTCCTTAAAAAGGTATTGACTTTTATGAATGTTAACATTACTTGGTAGAAGTTTCAGTGTCTTTGAAACTATAGACTTTGTTAATGTTTTCTTTTGGCTATGCTTCCCAAGAGATGAACAAGACTTTCTGGATGGTGGTGGTTGTTGTTGCTTAAGTTAAACTAAGGAGTTTGCTTTCATCTGCAACCCAAAATACTTTATCATCATTTACTTTCTGTTATTATTAGTGTGAACTCAGGATTTGGTGAAATAGTTTTTTTTCCCAAGGAAGAGCTTAGAGATGTTTGAATCTTTGGTTGGTCTTTACCTGATTCTGCTACTTTGGTTCTGCTTGCTTGTCTCGGCCTGATTTTTTGGGCAGTGGTGGCACATGCCTTCATCCCAGCACTTGGGAGGCAGGGGCAGACAGATCTCTGTGAGTTCCAGGCCAGGTCTACAGATCTAATTCCAGGACAGCCAGGGGTACACAGAGAAACCCTGTTTCTTAACAAGCGAACAAAAAAAGAATGGAGAACCGAGTCTCACTAAGTTTAGCAGGCTGGCTTTGAACTCTGTTCGTTACCTTTCCTGTTGCTGTGATCAGCTAACCTGATGAAAGAATGCTCATACTTCCAGGGTATACGGTGTCATGGCACAGAACTCAGGGAGCCTGTGACATAGGTAGTCAACATATTCCATCAGCTGTCTCGAGTCAAAAGCCATAAATTCTGGTGCTTAGTTAGCTCTCTCTTTTATGAAGTCTAGAACCCTGTCCCAGGGAATGGAACCACTCACTAGTTAGCCTAATTAAAACAATTCATATATAGGCCTATCCAACCCCCAAGAAACCTATATATCTTTTTTTAAATTTTATTTATTTATTATGTATACAATATTCTGTCTATGTGTATGCCTGCAGGCCAGAAGAGGGCACCAGACCTCATTACAGATGGTTGTGAGCCACCATGTGGTTGCTGGGAATTGAACTCAGGACCTTGGGAAGAGAAGGCAATGCTCTTAACCACTGAGCCATCTCTCCAGCCCCCCCCCCCCCCCCCCATATATCTTTTTTAAAAAGAAAAAATGCACACCCAAGAGGTCTGGAGAGATAGCTTAGGTTAGGAACACAGGCTGTTCTTCCAGAGGATTGAAGTTAGATTCCCAGCATCTATATGGAGGCTCACAACTGTCTATGACTCCAGTCCAAAGGGATCCAGTGCTTTCTGCCCTCTGCAGGACGTGCTTGCACATGCAGGCAAGACACTTATACATATAAAATAAAAATGAATAAATCTTAAAACTAAAAAAAGAAAGGTCAAAACCAAGATGAACAATAGAATTCAAATGTCAACGTTTGTCTTCTGGAAAGATAGTTAAGTTAGTAGGTCATTATTAATATAAAAGAGAAAAGATAAAATTGCCAACATAAAGACTTAACACTACAGATTTTATAAATAATAAAATTTTATAAACAGCTTAGTGCTGCTTTGGTAACATAGATGAAATATTTAGCTTCTCTTTAAGAGATACAGATTTCGAGATTGACTGCCCCTTTATTTTACCTCTCCCCATCAATAAACATCACAGTCTCAAATAGAGAAGATGGTAATTTTGCATATAACTCATGTGCCCATGTATACTTTTGTCTCTTAAATAACATTTAAATAGCTTCTGTAAATACAGTGTTCTTTTGAGGGAATAATAACCCCAAAAGCCTGTGAATGTTCAGTACAGATAGGTTTCTTCTATTTTCTATTCATTGTGTGTTGACTCCATAGTGGTGACATTTGTGGTTACAGTGAACCAAATATAAATAAGTGAATAGCCATATTTTTGTTTAAGAAATTGAATTTGTATTTGCAAATTTTTTTCAAAATAGCTTAATTCCAGTGTACCCAAATCTCATGGGGAAAAAAGTAGAAGGGAAAATTTCTAGCCATAGTAACAGATCAAACGAATGGATATAACAGAACATGTCATGAACAACAAAAAGGTTTCTATTGGTGCATCATTAGAGTTAGAAGCCAGCTGGATAGTCTGTTTCAAAAAAAAACAAAATGGCCTTGAACAAGTAAGAATGCTTGTCACCAAGCCTGATGACCTGAATTCAATACTTGGGACTCATGTGGTGGAAAGAAGGAAAACTCCCACAGGGTGTCTTCTGGCCTCTACATGTGTCCTTTGGTGTGCACTCACTCACATACAAATAAATGTAATTTAAAATAAAATTGTCAGTGAGCTGTGACTAGAAGCAAACTTCCTCAGAAAAGTATACTCACTGTAAAACATACTGCATTTTTGCCTGTATAGAAGGAATGTTGCAAAGGCATTGTACTTTGTCATGGCTAGTGCACAAGTCATTCAAACTGGAAAAGACAAAGCAAAACTTTTGAAAACCTTATGCAGAAGTTTTCAAAAGCATAAGTCCTTTTATATAAAAGTCTCAAGATAAAAGATCAACGTACTAAATTCAGTTGCATTTCAACTTATTGGCGGCAAGTAACTAAATAATTTCCATCAGGAAACCTAAAGTAAAGCAGTGGTGACACAAATCTTTAATCCCAGCACTTGGGAGGCAGATTCAGACAGAGCTCTTGAGTTTGAGGCCAGCCTGGTCTACAGAGCAATTAAGTTCCAGCACAGCCATGGCTACACAGAGAGACCCTGTCTCGAAAAACCTAAACAAACAAACAAATAAATAGAAAGAAATGTAAAGTAAAGCTGGGTATATGATAGTATATCATATGCTATGTTGAAATAGAAAATCAGAGTTCAAGGTCAGCCTGACTGTATAGTCAGTTTGAGGCCAGCCTAGGATACATGAGACTGTCCAAAAGAAGGAATTGGGGGAGGAAGGAGAAAAAAAAAAAAAAAAAAAAGAACAGAGAGAATGGCACATGTGTGCAGTGAGTTACTTTTAATCAAATGTTAAGATCCCTTAGGGGTGTGGCTCAGCCAAGTTATATAACAGCCCTTAATTGAAGAAAGCTAATGAAATTTTACAAAGCAATTGTTTTGTTCTGAGGCAGGTGTATCAGCATAGGTCAAGTTAAATATCAGAGTCTCAGTCCCACTGTTTCAGCCTCTGAAGTGCTATGATTACAAACAACTGTCATTACATATTATAGTCTTTCTTTGTCATTCAGTTATTTATTTAGTGTGTTTTTCATGCATGAATGCGGAGAGGGAGCTGCAAGGTTGATATCTGGTGTTTTCTTAATTGCTTTCCACTGTATTTGAGATCTCACTGTAACCCAGAGTTTTCCAATTCAGCTAGTCTAGCTCAATAGCTTACTCCAGGGGAATCTTGTCTCTGTTCCCCTGGCTCTGGGATTATAGGGAGGCTGCCACTCTGGCTCATGATTTATGAAAATACTAGGGATCCAAATTAAGGCCCTCATGCTTTCTTGGCAAGTTTTTCTACTCACTGAACCTACTATCTCTTCAGCTCTTTTTTTTTTTCAGTACTTAGAATAGATTTATCACCATTAATCTTATTTTACATGGGTTTGTTTATTTATTTTTTTTAAAATTCGTTTGCTTGAATTATCTAGTTATGGCATTGGAATCGCTTTTAGATTGGCTCTTATGTCATTTTTACTTGGTTACTTATTTATTTTAGTTTTTTGTTTTGAGGTAGTATGTGACTAAGCTGCCCAGGCTGGCCTTGGAGAGAACATTGTCTAGAAACTAAGATCTGGGCACTGGTTATAGTCATTGCTGTCTGTATCATTATAAGATTTTTCAATAGATAAAGCCAAGAAACTTAACTGCTGGTGTTCATATATCTGTAACACGTCTATTTTTATTTCATTATCTGTTCATCTGTATGTTTTAAGATATGAGTTTAAGATTGTGAGTTTAAGACTGGGGGCTAGAAAGAGATAACTCAGTAAAGAACACATTTTGCTCCTGCAGAGGACTTTTGTTTAGTTCTCAGCACCTACATCATGGCTCACAACCTTTGTAACTCCTGTATAGGGGATCTGGTGCCTTTTTTATGAAGGTATCAGATACATGTGTGATTCATATACAAACACATGCAGGCAAAATACTCATACCCATAAAATAATCTTAAAAAGAAAAAAATGAGATTGAGACCAACCTGGCTACAAAGTTAAATCTTGTTTACCCATGAATTACTACCAGTTTGTCATAATAGTTTTCATGTTGTTATTGGTAGTTGTTTTCATTTTGATACTTGGTACTGCTTACTAAGGCTGACCTCCAACTGGCAGCAATCCTTAACTTGGCCTCCAAAGTGCTGCAGCTAGATATGTGTGCCACCACATCTGGCAATACTTGTGTGTTCAGTAGAACCACCTATATAAAAGGGTTTTATGATTACCAGCTCATATACTGTGAGAAATAAATTTATTACTCCTAGAGTACGAGTTTGTGTACAAAATGTTAATGCTATCTGTCATACAGTCCAAACTGTTTTCTGAAGTTAAGTAGAAATTTTCTTTCCTTAATGGGTTTTTTGTTGATTTTTGTTATTGTTGGGTTTGTTTGTCCCAAGGTTTCTCTACATCTGGCTCTGTCTGAGTGCTGGAATTAAAGGCATGTCCTACCACACCTGGCCTTATATATATCTTTTATGGTAGCTAATGTTTTTGTGATGGGGTGTGTTTGTTTATAAATAGTCTATTCCACTTCTCATAGTAGTCACCCACAAAATGGTTGAGGGTTTTTGTTTTGATTTTTGTTGGGAGAAGGAGGTTCAAGAAACAGTAGTATCACTCCTTTCTTATCTACTATTAGTTTTGGTTTACTTTTTCTTTGTTTTTGGGTTTTTTTTTTTTTTTTGGTGGGTTTTTGTTTGGTGTTGTGTTTTTTTTTTTTTTTTTTTTTTTTTTTTTTTTTNTTTTTTTTACACAATGGGCCCTTGTATATTTTTGTTGTGCTTCTGTTGTATGTTGTTTTGAGATGAGATCTCATATAGCCCAGAAACTCAGTATATAGCTGAGAATGAACATGGCATCCTCTACTACTCCCTCAGACCTTGCCTCCTTGTGTAAATATTGTTTAAATGAGCATTTAGTCGTAGATTCAAAATTGAGGATTTTTTTAGTGAAAACATTTTTTGCTTGAGTATTGGTAATAATGCCATTAAAGTATTATATATTGGTTATCTTTTATCCATTTCATGCTCAACCTACTTTACAGAAGTGGTGGTGTAAATAACTGAACTATTTTTAATATGCTTTCTCAGAAGAAAGGTATGCTAAAAATGTAAGCTATTGCTATTCAGTAGTTCGAGATATCATTCTTAACCTTTGGTTAAGCAGGAATAGTTTCTTTTCCTTCAGTTTTTGCATTCACTGGGGATATAATGGTACTTTGGCCTGACTAAATGTTTGTGGGTAGAGTTAAAGCAATATAAACTGGCTAGGAAATATTGATCCATAACTATCCTTTTGAGTAAAATTGGCAAGATGTTTTACAGTTGCTATTTCCTTAAGTTATAAATATTTGCAATGATATATATATCCTGCTTATAGATTTATTGTAATTAAACAACGTTCCTTTTGAAATTTTGTAAATAATAATCCTCTGGGCTAGGGATGTAAGCTCCTGGTTCAATTGCTAACACCACATTTGCCCTTGGGAGGGGAGAGTGTTTAGAGGGAAGAGTGAGAAGCTCAAGGTCATCCTCTGCTGTAGTTGGAAAGGAGAGAAACAACTCCACAACGTTGTCTGTCTTTTGACCTCCATGCAAAGGCGAGGGCACACACAGACCCAAAACAATATTTTAAAGAACCAAAACCCAAACCTATGCTATTTATCATTGAGAAGATGCTGTGTTACTGTTTTGATACTGTTACTATTTTATCCTTTTTTGCGAGAGTTATGTTACTGTATAATTGTTTGGCTATACTTTTGTTCCACAGAATTATATTGAGGTTCTTCCTATGTCATTATGTATGTTCTACATGTAATCTGGTAAATATTTCTCTTTTCTCCAGAGCTAATTCTTTAATTATTTTATTTAAGTCATATACTTTTTTTAATGTACCCATCTTCTCTACTTCATTAGTTAATTGATTGATTGATTGATTGTGTATGCAATATTCTATCTGTGTGTGTGCCTGCAGGCCAGAAGGGGACACCAGACCTTATTACAGATGGTTGTGAGCCACCATGTGGTTGCTTGGAATTGAACTCAGGACCTTTGGAAGAGAAGACAATGCTCTTAATCACTGAGCCATTTCTCCAGCCCCCATGTTTTGTTTTTCAAGTTCCATGTCAGAGATTTCAATGAAATGGTGTTGCAGGGGTTAGTGCTAATGTGTTTTTTATTTCTTTTCTTTACTCAGATTGAGTCTGTTTCTCAGCCTTCAGAAAACCATGGTATTCCTGTTAGTCATATTTCAGAGTCCTTGTCTACCAAATCATGTGGAGCACTGAGACCTGTCAATGGGGTTGTTAACAGGTAATTTTTATCTCCTTTACTTCTCACGCTTAATGCCCATGTTGTAAAAGTAGAATTTGGCTGGTTGTGGTGGCACACGCCAGTAGGATTTAGTGAAAGAGGCGGAAGTGGGAGGATCAAGAGTTCAAGGCCAGAATGGGCTAAAGAAATTGGAGTGGGGGTGGTGGGGTGTTGGTGATGCATACCTTTAAATCCCAGCACTCAAGATGCAGAGGCAGGCAGATTTCTGAGTTCAAGGCAAGCTTGGTCTACAAAATGAGTTTCAGGACAGGCTCCAAAGATACACAGAGAAACTCTTTCTCAAAAAATAAAAATGTTGGATTTAGGAAAGAATAAACGGGGAAAAATGTATGGTTCAATAAAATCATTTTTTAAAAATGCAAAAAAAAAAAAATGAATTTGGAGTGCCTAGTTATTCCCAGCCAGGGCTGACTAAAGCAACCCTATTATTGAGTAATACTTTGTGTGTCTTACACTGTGCCCAAGGTTTTTGGTTTTTGTTTTTTCTCTTTAGACAGGGTTTCTCTGTAGCCCTGATTGGCCCAGAACTCACTCTGTAGACCAGGCTAGCCTCGAACTCAAACATCAACCTGCATCTACCTCCCAATACCAAGTTTTGTTTTGTTTTGTTTCGTTTTTGTTTTTTTTTTTTTTTTTTTTTTTTTTGTTTTGTTTCTTTTTTTTTTTTTTTTTTTTTTTTTTTTTTTTTTTTTTTTTTTTTTTTTTTTTTTTTTTTTTTGGTTGGTTGGTTGGTTGGGTTTTTTTTTTTTTCTTCGAGACAGGGTTTCTCTGTAGCTTTGGAGCCTGTCCTGGAACTAGCTCTGTAGACCAGGCTGGTCTTGAACTCACAGAGATCCGCCTGCCTCTGCCTCCCGAGTGCTGGGATTAAAGGCGTGTGCCACCAAGTTATTTTATTTAGTACATGTATGTAATCCTTTGTACCTACCATTGTCTGACTGGTCATGGCGTCAACAAAATCCTATAGTTAAATTGTGTGAAGATTCCTAAGTTCCCTGTGCATGTGAATAAAATATTATTTATCATTAAATTCATTATCACAGGAGAACTGTTTTTATTTATTTTTATTTTATATGCATTGGTGTTTTTTTATTTATTAAAGATTTCTATCTCTTCCCCACCACCGCCTCCCCTTTCCCTCCCCCTCCCCCAATCAAGTCTCCCTCCCTCTTCAGCCCAAAGAGCAATCAGGGTTCTCTGACCTGTGGGAAGTCCAAGGACCACCCACCTCCCCATCCAGGTCTAGTAAGTTGAGCATCCAAACTGCCTAGGCTCCCACAAAGCCAATACGTGCAGTAGGATCAAAAACCCATTGCCATTGTTCTTGAGGTCTCAGTAGTCCTCATTGTCCGCTATGTTCAGCGAGACCGGTTTTAACCCAGGCTTTTTCAGACCCATGCATTGGTGTTTTTGCCATGGGTTTTGGGTTCCCTAGAACTGGAATTACAGGCAGTTGTGAGCTGCCATGTGAGTGGGAATTGAACCTGGGTTTTCTGGAAGAGTAACTAGTGCTCTTAACCACTGCGCTCTCTCTCCAGCCCCAGGAGAACTGTTTTTAACACTGTTCATTAATGTTTGCAAAATTGGCTGGTCCATTGTGTTCTCTGCTTTCCATTGTGTTCTCTGCTTTTAATCCCAGCGTTCGGGAAGCAGAGGCAAACAGATCTCTGTGAGTTCGAGGCCAACCTGGCCTACAAAGTGAGTTCCAGGATAGCCAGAGCTATTACACAGAGAAACCGTATCTCCAAAAACAACACCAGAAAAAACTCCAAAACAAATTTGCAAAATTGTTTTCTTATTAAATATAATTTTTTCTATAGTTTTTTTAGACATATTTCTGTTATGGGAGAAAAGCTAACAATGAATACTTGAGTTTATTGACTTTTGCACCTTTCAGAAATGATAGGTGTTGTGCACTGAGAGCCTCATGAGTAGGCACACACAGAGATAAGTGTGTGCTCTCATCCAGAGTTGACCTGCTCCTGTAAAAGAAGACCTGTTTATGTCTTTGAACATTTGAAAGTCAGGAAATGGAGCCCACATTAGAGGTTTTGTTTCCTCTGTGTTTTGAAATGTATCTTCCTCCCTTTTTGTAGTCTTCAGCCTGTCCTGGCAGACCATGTTCCAGGTGACAGCTCTGATGCTGAGGAACAATTACATAAAAAGCAACGGCTGAATTTAGTTTCTTCATCATCTGACGGCACCTGTGTGGCAGCCCGAACAAGGCCTGTAGTGAGCTGTAAGAAGCGGAGGCTTGTTAGGCCCAGCAGCATTGTTCCTCTTTCTAAGAAGGTGAGTACTCAAGATCAGTCTCTTCTCAACCTCACTCCATTTACCTAATGCTTTTCAAAGTAGGGTAGCCCCCAAGGTTTCTTGAGAGCCTTAAAAAAGTACTAAGTTCCTAAACCTGCTCCTCCCTAGAGCTTGGTTTAGTTGGTTTGGAGTTAGGATTGAAATTGTTTTTCCCTTTTAATTTTGATTTAGCATGCCATGTTTGCTGTGGCAGTTTCACATGTATACTTTGTTCATTGGGAGGTCTTGTTTTTCAAAAAGCTCTTAGATGACTGCAGCCAGATTTGAAAACTCCTGGCTTGAGTTTTGAAACAAAAGAAGAGTCTCTGGAAGTTTAAGTGCTGCCATGAACACTTCTGTTTCTCACCTGTACTGTTTTTGCTGAAATCAACAGTGTTAACCAGGTGTGGTGGAGCAGTATGCCCTCTTAACCAAATCTTCATTTGGAGACAAGAAAAGAATTTTGTTTAGTAGTCGGTGTGTTAGTATGTGTGCCCTGTGTGTTGCCTGGTGTACTCAGATCAGAAAAGGATGAAGGATCCCTTTGGGCTTGGGTATTGATGGTTGTAAATCACCCTTCTAGGTCCTGGAAACTGAACATACTCTTTCTTTCAAAAAAGAATCACTACAATTTTTTTCCTTGCTATTTTCTTCAACCCTCCTTTCTTCCTTTGCTCTTTGCTGCTTTCTTTGTGCTCTTGAGACAGTATCTGCTAGTTGGCCCAGGCTGGTCTTGAACTCCTAGACCTTTACTTCCTAGGTCTGAAAATGAAGTTATATGCCACCTTGCCCAGCTTCCAATACAGTTTCCAAATTTCTATTACTAAACATATGTTCATGTTCACAGAAAATGGAGGTGACTAGATAATTGTGATAAGCTTTTGATTATTTAGTCTTTGAATAGCAGGGTTTATTTCTGAAACTTATGAAATCCATGTAATGTGTATATTGGAGTATCTGGCTGGTAAGTTACTAGGACAAAGTGTTTTTTCCTTTATGAATTCTTTTGTTCTTCTGTATTTACTCCTTTGTAAAATTTTTGTTGAACTTTGAGATGTCTGTTCTAGGTATTGATGATACAATACTAGATAAAAATTAAAATTCTTACTTATGAATTTTGGTCCTTCTGCCTCAGCCTACTGAGTTGCTGAGATAACAGGACTGTACCATGTTTTGATACTTTTGGGATTTTTATTTTTAGATTTATTTTCACTTTATGTGTGTGGATGTTTTGTGTACATGTCTATTGTTTGTAGATATTAATACTGCTGTTAGAACAAAGGTTTCAGTAAAATAAACTTACTAGAAATAGTCTAAAATGAGACTTAACCATAAATTATAAAGTATAAAAGGTCTTGAATTCCAGACTATTGTTTTGAATTTTAGCCTCTTAAATTTTAATTTTTAAAATTGACAGGATGTATCACAAACTCTTTGTTCGAATATAAATTCAAAGATTTATTTTTGAGCCCCAATCTAAATATTGGGGATGAATTAGGAAAGAGAATGGGAACTGAAAAGGGACATAACAGTAGTAATCCTGTAATCCCAGCACTCAGAATGCAGAGGCAAGTGAGTTTGAAGCCAGCCTGGTCTACAGAGTTCCAGGACAGGCTCAAAAAAAAGTCTAAATAAATAAATAGCACAGAGAAAGCTTTTTGCCATCAAGCATAACTATAGTTCTTTTTGTTGTTATCGTTGTTGTTTAAAAAGTTCTATGGGTACTAGAAAAGTGGCTCGGGTTAAAAGGACCTGGGTTCAATTCCCAACATTCACATGCTAAAAAGTTCTGTAAATGTCATAGATTTTTAATGGTGCTTATATGGAAGTGAACTTAGGTCTCTGGAAGAGCAACCATTGCTCTTAACTGGTAAACCATCTCTTCAGCTTTTGTTTTTGTTTTTTTCTGAAAATCTTTTATTTTAATTGAGAGATGTATTGGTGACTGGTTGGTTCATTGGTTGGTTTGATTTTGTATTTTGTTTAAGGTTTTTGGTTGTTTGATTAGTTACAATCTTGAAGCCCTGATTCACTGAGTAGGATGGATACTTTTGTCTTGAAACAGTAATTGTGTTTACATCAATGTATTCAGTATCATTTTTAGTAGTATTGACCATTGCAGCTTACTAGACTTTTCCCCTTCAATTTACCCAACCTAATCTTTGTATTTAGACCCTCTGTGCAACCTATATTCAGACAGAAGCAGTTGTAGAATGTTGATAAAGACCACATTGTTCTTAAGTTTTTTTTTTCCTATTTAAGTCCATAAAAAATACTGAAGACATGTCTTTGAAGGGGCTGTGAGTATAGTTCAGGGACGCTGATCCAGTTATTCTAGGGGTAAGGGAACATAGAGCACTTCCAAAGACAGGCAGACAAACGGACAGTCTGTCTGTCTGTCTGTCTCTCTCTCTCTCTCTCTGTGACACACACACACACACACACACACACACACACACGACAGGCTCTCAGCATTTGGGTGGTAGAAGTAGCAGCATCAGGAATTTGGGGTCAACTTTGACTACCTGAGACATTCTCTTCACTTTTCCTTCAAAGGGGGAAACAGAAGAGACATAATTATAAGCCAGGTGTGGTGCACATATCTATACTGTGGCATACAGGAGAATAAGGGATTCGTGGGTATTTAAGATCAATCTGGGAAACATAGTACAAACTTGTCTCAGAAAAAATAACAGAAGCCAGCATTCAATGGGGAAAACTAAGATGAGATCATTTCTGTGAATTCTGAGAGGGGGAAAGAGAGATGACAGTTTGGGGTAGTTTCAGTGCTCCTGTTTTGTTTTATTATGATAACTAGTCTTTTTTCTAGCATTCCTTTTCACAGTGCCATTCCCCAGGCAGAATCTTGCAGATTGGGTGTTGCCTAGATGACGTCATGAATCATGCTTGGCAAGTGCAGGGCTTGTTCTTTGTAGCACAAGATTGTAGGGATTCTGTATTAGACGTCTCAGCTTTTTGTCTTAAAGCCTAAAAATGCAAAAGAAAAAGGAAAAAGTAGTTTTAAATAATTAAGTCTCTGGGGTACTTTCATTTAACTCTATCTTGTTCTTTGTGTGTAAAGGAAGTTTAAAGAAAATAATGTATCTTTGGAATTAATCTAATAGAAAAATAGTGAATTCAACATCATTCAACGTGCATGTTTAATTTTCATCAGTCATGAGTTATGTCTTGTTTTTTGAAAGTGGAGGACAGTTTGAGAGATTTAGGTGATTGGGACTAAAAGCATGTACTGATATCCAGCAAGGATGTTAGGTTTTTATTAGAACAAATTGTCAGTTTTGTTTTGCTTTTCACAGGTTAACCGGAATAGCACCACCCGCTCTGGCTGTGATGTCAATCCCTCTTGTGCTCTGTGTGGTTCAGGCAGCATAAACACCATGCCTCCTGAAATTCACTATGAAGCCCCTCTGTTGGAACGTCTTTCTCAGTTGGATTCTTGTGTTCACCCTGTTCTAGCATTTCCAGATGGTAAGAAAGACATCAGAATTTAAAGTCTGGTGGTGGCACACGCCTTTAATCCCAGCACTTGGGAGGCAGAGGCAGGCAGATCTCTGTGAGTTCAAGACCAGCCTGGTCTACAAGAACTAGTTCCAGGACAGGCTCCAAAACCACAGAGAAACCCTGTCTCGAAAAACAAAAAAAAACAAAACAAAACAAAAAAAGAATTTAAAGTCTAACCAGTGAGATCTGATAGGGTTCCAGGTGAAAGAAAATCAGTGATGTCAGATACTCAGTATCCCTTTCTGTCATCAAAAACTTGTCAGAATTTTGCTGTTTGACCTGTAATTCAATAGGAAAGAACATTTTCCATAAGTCATCTTTGACAGGGAGGTTATACATGAAGAGGCTGGAGCAGTGTCTCAGAGGTTAGGTCCGATTCCCAGACATCTATAACTCCAGTTCCAGGGTGTCTTCTAGCTTCTGAGTGCACTGGATGCACGTGGTGTGCATTTATACATACAGTCAAAACATTAATACAAATAAAATAAAAATATTTAAAATAAAAGTAAGGGATTGGAATTTACTTAGCAGTTGAGAGGAGCACTGGCTGCTCTTCCAGAGGACCCTAGCTTGGTTCCCAGCACCCATATGACTTCAATTTCCAGAGAATCCAACACCCTCTTCTGGCCTCCATGAGTACTAGGTGTGCATGTTGTACACTGGCTACATACATAAATAATAACATAAAATCAAAGAAAAATCTGGAAAGATGACTTCGTGGTAAAGAGCTGTATTGCTCTTACAAAGATCCTGAGTTTGGTTCTCAGCACCTGCTTTGGGTCTTGAGCTCACTGCCTGCATTTGCTCCAGGGTGCTGGAATTAAAGAGAGGTGCCACCATGCCTTGCGCCCCCCCCCCCCCCTTTTTTTGAGATAAGATTAGGATTTTGTTGTTTTATTTTTCGAAACAAGGTTTCTCTGTAGCTTTGGTGTCTGTCCCGAAACTAGCTCTAGCTTTTGTAGACCAGGCTGACCTCGAACTCAAAGAATGCTGGGATTAAAGGCAGGCACCATCATTGCCCGGCAAGATTAGTATTGTTTTGACTCCTTTAAGTTTTTTATGGATGGTTACTTCTTACTAAGCCATACTCCTCACTTAGGAGCAGAGTGTGAGTTGGGGTCTCATGTATTCTGTACTGACCTCAAATGCACTGTGTAGCCAAGAGTGACTTTTAAACTCCTGATCCTCCTGCCTATGCATCCAGAATGCTGGAATCACAGATATGTGTATCACACATTGGATGAGGAGTGTCTATTGAGGTTTCCCCCTCTACACTTAGAAGCTTAGTGATAGCTGTTTTGTGTCCCTGTATAACAAAAATAAAGAGTAATTTTATTTTGTTTCCTAATCAATTCATAAGAGTTGTTAGGATCACAGTCTTTATCCTGAAATTTTGTGTTGTCTTCCACCTTCAGCACATTTTAGGCATGGCATACACTTTTATTCTTAGTGCTCGGTAGGCAGAGGCAGATTGATCCCTTGAGTTTGAGGCCACTCAGGTGTGGAAAGCCATTTCCAGGACAGCCAGGGCTACACAGAGAAACCCTGTCATAGGGGGAAGGAAGGAGGGAGGGGAGGGAGAGGGGGAAGGAGGAAATGAAATCAAACTGAGCCAAAAATCAGACAATGATTGTGCATGCCTTTAATCCCAGCCCTCGGGAGGCAGATGCAGGCATGTCTTATGAGTTCAACGCCAGCCTGGTCTATATAGTGAGTTCCAGGGCAACCAGGAATACATACATAGTCATCACCCGCCCCCCCCCCCCAAAAAAAAAACAAACAAAGAAGGAATCTTTTTAGACTTTAGTCTTAGTTCCAGGAGGCTGAGAACAACTTTCTTTGAGTTTGAGAGACCAGCTTTGTCTTCAGAGCTAGTTCCAGGATAGACAGAGCTACACAGAGAAACCCTGTGCCCAGCAGGGGGAAGGGAGATTGACTTGGGCACAATGATGCAAGCATATGTTCTATTTAGGGGAAGCTAAGACAGGAGTTCTGCTGGCAGCATAGACTCTGTCTTAAAATAAAAGGGCCAGATATGATTTTGTACACTTAAAATCATAGCACCTGGGTGGGGGGCAGAAAAGCAGAGAAACTGCCATGAGTTGAGTTTTAGGCCCACCTGGTAGGCATAACAAGTTCTATACTGCAGTAAGATCCCACCTCAAATGACTGAGAAAGTGTAGAAAAAAAAAAAGTGAGGTGCTGTTCACAATCCCATCACTCAGAGCAAACAGATCTTGGTGAGTTCAAGGCCAGCCAAGGCTATGTAGTGAGACCCTGTTTCTTAAAACAACAACAAAAAGATCAAAAGGAGCAATGGAAATGCTGTTTTGTGGGAAACTACCAGCATGTGTACTTGAGACTGTGGCTTTCCAGCAGGAGAAGGAAGTGAGCTTTGCAAAATACTCAATAGCAGACTTACGACCACGGCATATCAGAACTTGGTGAACTCAGGGTGCAGTTTCTAGTCATGTTTCATTTTGAGGAAGTAATAATTTAAGATGATGTTAATAATGAATTTGTGTTTTCCTTTTATTTACCTGATAAAGTACTATACCCTCTTTGATTATAGCACTTTAATCTTATATAAATGGAAAGTAGAACATCCTATAGCTGAATTAATCTCTACTGCGTTTTTACTTTTTTTTTTGTGTGTGTGTGTGTGGCAGAGTATCATAGTGTGTATCCAGGCTGACCTCATACTAGTGATCACCCCTCTTTCCTTTCCTCCTAAGTATTGGAATTATACAGACGAGCACTACATGCCCAACATTTTTTGATATTTCATGCCTTTGTTTGGGTCTTCTAGTCTGTCTAGTTTGTTTTAATTTTCAGTACTTGTTTTTAAGCCCAGGACCTTGTGTGTATAGGCAAACACTCTACCACTGAGCTACAGCCTCAGCACACGTTTAGATTTTTTGGTTCTTTCCATGTCCTAGGATAACTACTATTCAGTTAGTATGTATACTCAAACCAACAATGTCTAGGAACTTGTATTGTCCACTGTTTGGGGAATTTAACAAGTTTCTGCTCATTCATTTATAGATGCTATTAAAAGAAAATACAGTAAAGATTAAAAATAAAAAGCTCAGTTTTTCTAGGCAATGGTGGCATAAGCTTTTAATCCCAGCACTTGAAACAGAGGTAGGCGAATCTCTGAGCCTGTGGCCAGCCTGGTCTATAGAGCTGGTTCCAGGACAGCCAGGGCTACACAAAGAAATCTTGTCTTTTTTTTTTTTTTTTTTTTTTTGTGCCAGATGTTGGTGCACGTCCCTTTATTCCCAGCACTCAGGAGGCAGAGGCAGGTTGTGACTTCAAGGCCGCCTGGTCTACAAGAGCTAGTTCCAGGACAGGCTTCAAAACTAGAGAAACCCTGTCTCAAAAAAATCCAAAAGTAAAAGAACATACGTTACGTACGTATAATTCTCAGTAATTAAAACACAAGGTTGGGCTTGGTGTAAGTGCAAGACCAGCCTCTTGTACATATCAACACAGTTTTCAACTTCGCTCTGTTGGGTGGAGGAGTAAACGTTATTGATGGCTACCAAATATCATGGAGAAGAAATTAAGAAAACCTAAACAGGGCTTGGAGGGATGTGGCTTGAGTATATGTAGCAAGTACATGGCCTGGGTTCTATGTCTAGCAACACCAAAAAAAAAAAAAAAAAAGAAGAAGAAGAAGAAGAAAAGAGGGAGATGTGTGTTCATGTACTAGAATAATCTATCCATGCCCGTGTCTCCACTTTGATCTGTATTTAGCAAGGCAGTGCCACATGTGTTTTAATTTTTTTTTTTATTTTTTTTTTTTTTTTTTTTTTTTTTTTTTTTTTTTTGTGGGTTTCCCTTCTCCCCTGTTCCTGTAGCCTGGGGGTTGATGTTTGTTTTCTAGGTAGCAAGGAATTGAGCTTGGGCCAGAGCCAGCCTGGTGCACATAACAGGGTCCAGGCTAGCAAAGGCTTCATAGAGATCTCTCTCTCTCTCTCTCTCTCTCTCTCTCTCTCTCTCTCTCTCTCTCTCTCTCACACACACACACACACACACACACACACACAAAATCAAAAGCAGTAGTATACCAGAAATATACTGTAAATGAACAGTGGGTCACCTAAATTGAGATGACTCTCAAGGGCGTATTTGATTTTATTGTGACGTTCTCTTAGACTGTAGCCTAGATCTTATGGCAATCCTACTGCCTAAGTTTCTTAAGTGTTGTGTTTGTTTCAAGCATTTTCACAGAGAAATTATTTTCCTAAGGAATTAGTAAAATACTTAATTCATAGGAAAATACAACTTAGAACATGAGGGTCCATACCTACAGTCATAGCTATTCCGGAAGCTAAGGCAGGAGGATCACTAGAGTCTAGGAATTTGGGGGCCAGCCTAAGTTACATAGTGAGACCTTGTCTTAGAGGGTTTTGGGGATGTGTGATTTTAAAGAAAACAGTAGTGAGGAAGTAAAAAACTGTAATTAGTTTTCTAGTAATTAACATTAACTAATCAGCTTTATAAAACACATAGGCTGGGAGGTGGTGGTGTATCCCTTTAATCCCAGCACTCGAGGGGCAGAGGCAGATGGATCTCTGTGGGTCAGCCTGGTCTATAAGAGCTAGTTTCAAGACACAGACAGCTAAAGTTGTTACACAGAAAAGCCCTGTCTTAAAAATCCAAAAAGGAAAGAAAAAAAGAAGAAATACACTAATAATCAAAAGACAAGATGATAGCACTCTAGAGCAAGGAGGATGGCATAGCTTGTACCGGAAGGATAAAGTACCTTCTGTGGTCCTGGATAGCATAGGGTATGCTGTATCACAGAAGTTAGGCCCCATGGGAACATAAAAGTACATCATGGTTGTACATGTAGAATGAAGTTTAAATATAAGAATTGAAATATAAGAATTGAAATATAAGAATTGAAATAGGATGTTCAAAGTCTGCCACATCAGTAAGATCAACATGGGAAGCGAAGTCTCCCATCAATATAACAAAAAAATGTATTATAGTTTTACCTCCACCGGAACTTGTAGATAAAAGGCCAAGGTGGTAACACTACTTACTTATGTATACATCAATAAAGTTCACATAAATGGGTCTTCCATATGACATCCCCTGGTTTTGCTAAGCTAGAGAGTTGTTTGACAAGGGTATATTGACCTGGAGAGTCAGTCACCAGACACCCTTCAATGAGAGAGGAGCCCAGAGGCCAGGTTCTTGGACTAACCCACGATGTTTTGTGTTTCTTACAGATGTTCCCACAAGCCTGCACTTCCAGAGCATGTTGAAGTCTCAGTGGCAAAACAAGCCTTTTGACAAGATCAAACCTACCAAAAAGTTTTCACTTAAGCACAGAGCACCCATGCCATGCAGTCTGTCAGATCCAGTTCGTAAAGACAGGCATAAGTTGGTCAACTCCTTCCTTACAACAGCCAGTAAGTTTAGGGAACTAAGGAGTCTTCTGGAATCACTTTTGCTGTATTTTATAACTTTTATATTCTCTAGTTACTGGTCTGCTATGCCAATATTCTGGGATTGGAAAAAGCTTTTAGTTACCTAATACAAATTCAGCTCACAGCTTACCTACCCTATCTGTTTGGTTTGGATGCTCTCAGATAGACTTTGGAAACTGTTTCAAACAAGTAAAACCCAAAATGATCAGTGAACAGCCAGTAGTAACATACTGGGTCCACCTGTGGGCAGGTTGACTTCTGACTGAAGCCTTGGTGTTAACATTTCTGTTTGTGACTCCCTGTCCCTGTCCTAGCTATTGTGCCATTAACTAGAAGGTTGAATCCCAAAGACTATGATGCTGCCCTAGATATATAGCATTGGCCTAAGAACTGAAGAGCTCAGAACTCAAATAAGATTTGAGTGAATGTACTTCACAGCTCTTTTTTGTTCCCCTCTTCAGAGCTGTCCCATCACCAAACCCGGCCTGACAGGACCCACAGGCAGCACTTAGACGATGTGGGGACTGTGCCCATGGTGGAGCGAGTGACTGCTCCAAAAGCAGAGCGCTTGCTCAATCTGCCGCCACCAGTACATGACCCAAACCACAGCAAAATGAGATTGCGAGACCATTCATCTGAGAGAAGTGAAGGTAGGGCCAGGCCGGCACCTCTACCTGCATTGGCACTTGCTCAGAGCTTTTTGGGACAGCCCAAGCTTCTCTTAAAACCCCCTACCCCAAGCTTTGACCATTACTTGCTAGAAAGGCACAGCACGGGGCACTATTGCTTCTAAATGTAGGTCACATCTTATGCTTCAACATCTGCCCAGTCCCCTATTTCTCATCAACTAGTTGCTGCAGCTTTTTATCCTCTAGGCTACAAAGAAACTTTTTTTTTTTTTGCCTTTAGTATGCATTGCTGGCATTCCTAACATGTTGGAAGTAGAACTGGTTACGATATCCATTTAGCAGTGTATTCCTCTCCTTTCTGTTGACTTCTGCAGTGTTGAAGCATCACACAGACATGAGCAGTTCGAGCTACTTGACAGCTACCCACCATCCATCACACAGCCCCCTGGTGAGACAACTCTCCACCTCATCAGACACCTCCACAACACCTACCAGCTCTGGCTCACAGGTTGCAGCCAGCACGTCTGTAAGTACCTGTGTGGTGTTGATAGGACATTTTACAGATTACAGGGCACTCATAATAACTAGAGACCAATGTAGAGTGTAGTTGTAGTACTTGACCCTCGGGTTTTCATAGTAAAAACGAATCATATAGAGGCATGGGTGTGGGTTTTGTTGTTGATGGTTGATTTTTATTTTTTCCAGGAAAGTAGTACTAGGGCATTGTTAGAAGGTCTAGACCTTTGTTCTGGAGGCAGATTCTCTGAAGGTGCTTTGTGATTGTTTAGGATCTGCTTCACCTTGAACTTGAATACCATGGCCCTAATCTTTTAAGGCATTCAAGACAACAGTTCCTTGTTTCTTCTATTGATGAATGGCAGTAGGATACTAAGAATAGACAGTGATGATAGAAGGGAGAAGGCAGAACTCATGCTTTTTCAGATGTACAGAGCAGAAGTAGGATGCAGCAGGTTACTATGGCATAATGGAAGGTCATTTAAAGCATACTCACTACCTTGTACACCACCAAATCCCATTCAAGAATCTGTTTGCTTAGCCAAAGCAAACATAGTGTAATTAAACATGTATATGTAGAAGTTAAGTATAGTTATCCAAGCATTTCTTTTATAGTAATCACAATAACAAGTGTAACTATATTAGTAATATTAAATTCTGGTACTGTTATGTTTACTAAACATTCTACTACTAGACTTGATGTCACAGGTCTATAATTCTAGCACTCAGGAGGATGAGGCCAAAGGATCACTGTTCATACACACCATCCTATTTAATCCTACAGTGTCCTTTGATAAATAGTATTATGAATCCTGATTTTTGTGGACATGAAAACTAAGGCTGCACAGGGTTGAGTGTATTTCATAAGGTAAAGGGCAGTTTGTGAGGGTTGTGATTGTGATTCAAACCCTTGTAGTCTGACTTCAGAGGACTACCACACAGGACACCACACAGCCTTGGCCTGAGAAAAGAAATGTTGTAGAAGCTCTAAGCTCACAAAATGTGCTCGCTAAACTCTTGGAATGAGGTACAAACTCATATTGTTCTTTGCTCTTACAGGTCAGACTGTCCTTTCCAACAAGCTTTCTTTCACCTTTTCCACTCACAGACTTTGTCTGAATAGGTGTGTAGTATTACTACCACAATCAGCCAAACACTAGGAAAGGGTTTCACATAATGTGATGATAGAGAATAATTCTTACTTTAGAAAAAAATTAAGCTCTAAGGTCCAGGACTTGATAAGAAGTACAGATTTTATGCATGGCACTGTGCTAATCCTTTAGGCTCTTTCTTTTGAGACAAGGTTTATCTATGTAGTCCTGGCTGTCTGTATTTCACTGGCCTAACTCACGGAAATCCTCTTGCCTCTGCCTCCTAATTTCTAGGGTTAAAGACATGCACTTCCTTCAGGTTCTGATTGCTTCATTTATTCAGAGAATCGGGATTCTTCCATTAAGCAGAGTGATATGCCAAATTTAGGTTGAGAAGCAAGGGGTAACTGGTCGAAGTGGACAAGACAGGGTCTTTCAGGGTATTTGTAGCTGTGCTTCACAGTAGTTGTTACTTGTACTAAAATCATCTTAGTGGTCTTTAAACAAATTGTGTTTATTTTGTGTGTGTCTTGAAATCCAGTGACTTTTTAAAAAATTCCTTAGAAAAATTTAGAGAATAGATATGGCTGCACTTTGAGAGGATTAGGCTGAGTCCTCCTGTTTCTTTCTGTTGTGAAACCAGATTTAGAAATGACTTACTATTCTCAATGCTACCACCCTCCCCCCTTTTCTGACTAAATTGGAAAAGGTAGTTAAGTTGAGGTGAATGAGTGCTAGCACAATGGGTGTTTAAGAGAGAAGGGTACAGCCCAGAGGCCTGAGATGCTTTGGGGACATTCATAGCTGTTTCTAGCAGGAGTTTCATTCTTGACAAAGATAGAAAGCTATCTCTCCCAAGGCTTCTTCCAGACTCATTTCTTATGTGGGTTGTGGAATTTCAGCCAAGATGTGGTAGTGACAGAAGCTTTTGGATGTGCAGTCACTATTGCTTAACTTGCAGAACTCAACCAGGCAAGATTTCCAAAATTCTCGATCATTTTAGTTAACCTATGACCCAAAATTTGTGAGGTTAATGATGGTCTACTATTGCTGATAAAGAAGCAAATTGAAAATTGTGATGACCTGAAATCATTCATGGCACCATCTGAAATCCTGTTGTTTTTAATATTCTTACAGTGTCTTTTTTTTTTTTTTTTTTTTTTTTTTTGGATTTTCGAGACAGGGTTTCTCTGGCTTTGGAGCCTGTCCTGAAACTAGCTCTGTAGACCAGGCTGACCTCGAACTCACAGGGATCCGCCTGCCTTTGCCTCCCGAGTGCTGGGATTAAAGGCGTGCGCTACCACCACCACCCAGCTTCTTACAGTGTCTTAAGATGATGGAATTATCTTACCTTCCAAGGAGATGGATATAATGGTTGGAGCTAGTAGCTTATCTTTCTTACTGTTGCCTTGTGGGCTGACCACGCTTGGTGGTTTGAGTGTGAATGCAGGCTCTTGGGTGTTTCCAGCTGTGTTGTTGCCATGACAACATGTTTGTCATCCCACTGTTTCCCTATGGCCTCTCACAGTTAACAGGCTGTTTCAGGATAAGGTAGGTATTTGCTCTCCGGGCAGAAGCAGCTAATGGTTTTTTTTTTTTTTTTTTTTTTTTTTTTTTTTTTTTTTTTTTTTTTTTTTTTTTTTCTGTCTAAAAGATTTGATCTTTTGGCTCTTTGCTTTATTCATTCTGTCTGGACTCTTTTTAAGACAGGGTCACTATGTTGCTCTAACTCTTCTAGAACTTGCTGTGTAGACCAGGCTAAGCTTGAACTCAGAAATCTGCCTACATGTGCCACCCAAGTATTGGGATTAAAGATGTGCAGCACCTGGCTTTATTCATTCTTAGTGTCCTGTCTACCATAGATGTCATACTCTCCTTTTGTTACTGAACCCTTGAAAGTCTTATTTCCCCAAAGATTTGATGTTCCCACTTACTGTGAACACATTTCCTTTGTGGGAGGAGGGGATGGAAGCTATAGACAGGTTCCTTTTCAGTTTCCTTCCATTCCTCTTTCCCCCAACATAATAGAAAGATGAGCCGGGTGGTGGTGGCACACACCTTTAATCCCAGAGGCAGGCGGACGGATCTCTGTGAGTTCAAGTCCAGCCTGGTCTACAAGAGCTAGTTCCAGGATAGGCTCCAAAGCTACAGAGAAACCCTGTTTCGAAAAAAACAAGAAAATAAAAAAAAGAAAGGAAGGGTGATAGATGAGAGTTATGTAAGGGCTGAGAAAGTGGTTGGTACAGACTTAGCTGAAGAGTTGAGATTCTCAAGAGGAAAGGGTTTTCATGGCAGCTTAAGGTAAGATAGTTTGTTAAGGTGGACCTGCGTTTTGAGCCTCTTTTCTGATAAGAGAAATCAATGCATTTAATCTAAGTAGTGTTTAAGAGCCAGAGTTGTTGACAAAGGAGAAAGGGTAAAACAGATTTTAAGATTAATTTTATTGTGTGTGTGTGTTTTGCCTGCATATATATTTGTACTGCTACATGTGGCTGCAAAGGTCAGAAAAGGGTGTCATCTCCCTAATTGGGGTTACAGACAGTTGTGAGCCACCATGTTGGCACTAGAAACTAAACCCTAGTCCTATCCAAGAACAAGTAGTGCTCTTAATGACAGCCCTCTCTAGCTCTGGAACAGGGGTTTTAGGATTTTAAAAGAAGAGTATTAGAGCCCGGCGGTGGTGGCGCACGCCTTTAATCCCAGCACTCAGGAGGCAAGAGGCAGGCAGATCTCTGTGAGCTCGAGACCAGCCTGGTCTTCAGAGCTAGTTCCAGGACAGGCTCCAAAGACACAGAGAAACCCTGTCTCGAAAAACCAAAAAAAAAAAAAAAAAAAGAAGAAGAAGAAGAGTGTTAGGAGAATGAAGGAATAGGAACCCAAATTGGCTCTAGGACACCCACCTGTAAAATCTAGCAATTCAAGAGGGAGCCTTGTAAAATGGGATTTACTCCTTGAGGCCAACACCTGCTACCCCTGCCCCAAAAAACTCTGCTGCCAGGGATAATCTGTTTAGATACTGTGGTGACCACTGCTACCCTAGGACCTGTGTTGTGTGCATGATCATCCTGTCATATGACTGATGGTTTTAAATTTGTAGCATTGTACCTCTCTTGAAATTTAAACTTTTGTCTTACAGCAGCCAGTGAGGAGGAGAAGGGGAGAGAGCTCATTCGATATCAATAACATTGTTATCCCGATGTCTGTTGCTGCAACAACTCGTGTTGAGAAACTACAATACAAAGAAATCCTTACTCCAAGGTAGAAGCCCTATTTAATCAGCTCCTCTCCCTCTCTTCCTGTGGTCCTGTATCTACTTTTTCTCTTCTGACCAAGCAGCAGTCTTTATCCCTAAGTTGTTTTCTTTTTGAAAGAGGAGTCTGGGGCCAGGCATGAATCCACACTCATAATCCCAGCTCCCCCGAATGCATGGTGGGTCTTCAAAAAACAATAAAATGGGGGTGAACAGACATGGTAACTCATGCCTATAATCTGTAACCTTGGGAGGCTGAGGCTAGATGGTCATTTCCAGGTTCAAGGCTAGCCTGTACTACAGGCATGGATTGTTCATATCAGTAGTCTTAGCAATTGGGAGACTGAGGTGGGTGGATTGCAGTGGGTTTGCGGCCAGCTTGGGCTACATAGTGAGACTGCTGTTTCAAAAAGCAAGAGCAAATAAGAGGGTGGGAGAGTTAGTGGAGCAGGGTGGGTGGGTGCTTGATAGGAGTGAAGTTATAGCTTCTCTTATTCCTTTGTATGAATCCACCTCCTCAAGGTCACAACCTGGCAGGCCACTCAGACTATGTTTTAAAATGCTGAACGTGTTGTCCCAATATCAGACTTCTTATAAATCTTTATTTCCAGCCCCTATAAGATTGACTGATATGTCCTTTATGATACCAATCAATTGATATTATGTAGTGTTTATTTAAGCAGTTAAAGTTTTGCTTGAGTTTGACAGTCTTACCAGCCTCAACTTGATGCTTCTGTTTCTGGCCTTTGTGGGTATTTGCATGTGAGGCTTCATTTAGAGATTGGAGAGTTATAACCTGCAGTCCCATAATTTTCTTTCTTTTCTTTTTTTTTTTTCAAATTCCTGTGTTTTTCAGCTGGCGAGAGGTTGATCTTCAGTCTCTGAAGGGGAGTCCTGATGAAGAGAATGAGGAGGTAATACAATAGTTATGCTGGCTTAGAGGAACACATACACACACACACCAGTCATGGGTGCATGCACTCAAAATGCTTTAAGATGTTGCTGGACGGTGGTGGTGCAGGCCTTTAATCCCAGCCCTGGGGAGGCAGAAGTAGGTGAATCCCTGTGAACTCAAGGCCAGCCTGGTCTACAAGTGCTAGTTCCAGGACAGCTAGGACTATTACACAGGGAAACCCTGTCTTGAAAAGAAAAAAGAAAAAAAAAAAAAAGATACAAGGTGTCAAATTTGAGCTCATTGTCTTCTCTCTCTCTCTCTAACTAGAAGCATCTACATTCGGGAGAGGGTTGTTCTAGATTTATTCTGTCAATTTCATAACCTTAGCTTCCTGGGGAAAAGAGATTAATGAAACTGTTCTGTTGCAGATTGAGGACCTTTCTGATGCAGCATTTGCTGCCCTCCATGCCAAATGTGAGGAGATGGAGAGGGCAAGGTGGCTGTGGACCACAAGTGTGCCACCCCAGCGTCGGGGCAGCAGGTAATGGGCAGGCACAGGTTCCCAGAATCTGTTGAAGGAGGGAGGATGGTAGCCAAAGAAAGTATGATTACAGGCCTATTGGTTTCCTGATGATTTAGCCGGAGGAATTTAGAAGGCCTCACAAGATGATCCTCTTTTTGATGAGGACAGGCTTTGTAATCTTATCTTTTGGTTTTTCGAGACAGGGTTTCTCTGTGGTTTTGGAGCCTGTCCTGGAACTAGCTCTGTAGACCAGGCTGGTCTCGAACTCACAGAGATCCACCTGCCTCTGCCTCCCGAGTGCTGGGATTAATTGTAATCTTATCTTTACATGACTCAATGGGTTCAAAGTGCTCACCCTCTAAGTTCGACTACTGAAACCCACAGTAGAAGAAACTCAGCTAGAAGGTGTCCTTCTACTCCATGCCTTATGCTGCAACATGGTGCTCGTGCTCATTAATTCCTCTCCCCACACACACTAAACTAAACTAAAAAGACGGTGGCAGGAGTCCACCTATCTTTCTTTGACTTGTTTTCAAAACTTCAACTAGTCCCTGTTGTGAATTCACTAGTCAGGACTTTCTCTTAGACTCATGGTTACTCAACGCTTAGTTGTCATGTTTTTATGCCTACATATGTGAGTAAAAGTGGAAGCAAATGGAATTAATGAATCTTAGAACATCATTACTGTCAGTTCGAATTTTAACTGCTTTGGAGTAGATGCTTTTTTTTTCTCCCATAACTCCTCCTCTCACTACCCCTGCTCCCCAGAAAGAAACAGAAGAAATGCCTATTACCTAGGTACTCCCTCACTTGTCTATTCCTTGATTCATAGGTCTTACAGGTCATCAGACGGCCGGACCACCCCACAGTTGGGCAGTGCCAACCCTTCCACCCCACAGCCTGCCTCTCCTGATGTCAGTAGTAGCCACTCTCTGTCAGAGTTCTCCCATGGTCAATCTCCTAGAAGTCCCATTAGCCCAGAACTGCTCTCAGCCCCCCTCACCCCTGTGGCTCGGGACAGTCTGCGACACTTGGCCAATGAAGACACCCGTTGCTCCACACCAGAGCTGGGGCTAGATGAACAGGTGAGGGGTATCTCCATTAAATGGCGGGAGGGTATGCAAGGAGGCAGCATATACTGAAGATAGGGCTTTCCTCTCCCTTGTTTTGAAGCACACTAGAAATGTGCTGGGTACACCTTAGGGGAGGGGTCTTCTTACACTTCTCCCAATAGTAGTAGACAGTCTGGTTATCAACGCTGGGCCACAAGTGTGAAGGCCCAGGAAATGAGCTGAAACTAGGTCGTCATCACCAGAATATCTTATCTGTCTACAGTCTGTCCAACCATGGGAGCGGCGGACCTTCCCTCTGGCTTACAGTCCCCAGGCAGAATGTGAGGAGCAGTTGGATCCACAGGACATGGCAGCACGCTGTACTCGCCGCACCTCAGGCAGCAAGACTAGTCGGGAGTCAGAGGTGGCACCCACCTCACCTCCTGTTGTCTCCCTCAAGAGTCGGCATCTGACAGCAGCAGTCGCAGCTCAGCGCCCAACTCACAGATGAGCAGGAAATGAGACTCTATATAGACTCTCTACTATTGGCATTAAAGCTTCAGAAATCTCTGCGTTTGATATTCAAACATCATATGCTGGAATTTTCACAGTTTTTAGTGAATTTAAGGAATTTAGATCCTCCTTTGGTTGGTTTGGTTTTGTTGTTTCTGTTTTCATGTTTTGTTTTCATGTCACACCTGAGCACTTCCTCCAGTTGGCAGACAAGTTCAGGAAGAAACCCTGCTGGCCTGGTCCTGCATATCCTCTGCACTGTTGGATCACTGGACTTCCCAATGTTAGATGATCACCCTCTCCCTTGCACCTGTGGGGTAGGGTGGACCAGCCAGGTAGCAGTGGGTGGAAAGCTCTAAGTCAACAGTCTCCTTAGGTTGGGATGGGATAGAATAAAAGCAGTCTGGGCTCTTACCCCTTCCCTCCAGTCTGTGGCTTGACTCGGCTTAGCTCTAGCTGGGCACCCCTCCTTGGTCTTCTTGTGCTGGCGCTCCCTTCCAGCCAGCAGTACAACTAGCTTCTCCTTGTCACCTGGACCTTGAAGACCTATTTTGAGTTTCATCTGCATTCGGTCATCTGTCTTGGCTCCTTGGCTGCAGTACTCTGCCGCAGCTGCTCAGGTCACCCTGTTCTACCCTTTCCCATCTTTTCTCTCCTGTTCATGCACACAGACACGTTAGTCCTTCCGCTCAGAACATCTATGAAGATAGGGTTTGGACTGCTTAACCCATTCCCACACCCCTAAAAGTTAGGAAGTCTGGAGTACACAGCATCACTTCTGTATCATGTTTTCACTCAGTAGTAGTCACATGCCCTGTTTCTTTCACGTCCCTGTCAGTCACTTAGACTCCCTCATCTCTGCTCCCCTTGCCTGTGGAACACTGTCTGGTCCTAGCTGTGGTTTCCATTGTTCCCCACCAACCTCCTGTTAGCCTTGTGCCTGTCTTATGTATAATCACATCACCAAAAAAAGGGGAGGGGGAAAGGAATTTTCTTTTTCTGCCATTTTATAATTATACAAAAATAGTAGGCAGACTGCTTAATGGTTGGGGTTTTTTCACAATTTTCAACATTAGTGATTTTTTTTGTTTGCAAGTTAAAAGGTTTGTCATTGTTTCTTTAAACAACAATAATGCACCATATCCCTATGCATAAAGTGCTTCTTCTATTTATAAGGTTGAAAATTCTGAATAACCCTTTTAGCATTGTAAAAAAAAGACAAAAATTTAAAAAAACTTGTATTTTGTAAATATTTTCTTTTCCTGCTTTGAGCTGTGTAATGGCAGCGAACATGTAGCTGTCTTTGTTCTATAGAAATGCTTTTCTTCAGAGAAGCTGATCTTTGTTAATGTCTTGATTCTGTTCGCAAAGCACAGACTAGTGCTTAAAAAAAAAAGGAAGGAAAATGAAAAAAATAATAAAAAAAAAGATACAGAAAGTCATGTGTCATGCTTTTCTTGATATACTATTCTCTGTGTGCCTGGCAATGGTGGCAGCCCAAGCATTCTTTAGGGTTTGGAGATTTGCTGGCTAGGTATTGTGAAGGGTGTTTCACTAAGGTAAGAGATAGTCTGCTCTGAAGTGAAGCAAAATTGATTTATTCCCTCTCATTGTTCCTTTAAGAGGTAAGCAGTATAGAATTTCAAATTTCTTTAATGGGGATTTTTATTTGTCACCTTCAGACTTTGGAGGGGAGTGATCAATGAAAATTATATAATTTGCATGTATCTAAGTTGGTTCTTGCTACCTGGGGGAAATTACTTTGTCTAAGAAGGCTAAGGGCCTTCTCTAAGACTCAGCTGTTCTTCCATTTTTCTGCTTTTGTGTTGCTTCTATATGCATCAGGATATACTAGACTAAAACAGCTGCCTTCAGAGGCCACGCACATCAATGAACTGGGGAAGACAAGTATTTTGAGATTGGAAATCTAAAGACTATCATGACGACATATTATCAAAGAACTCAGGGAGAGGGAGATGGTTCAGTGGATGAAGTGCACAGTGTGAGATCCTGAATGTGAGCTTAAAGCCAGGCATCTGTAATCCTAGTGTTCCTATGTGAGATGGGAGGCTGAGATCCAAGAATCTTGGGCAGCAAGGAATCAGGTAACAGCACACACATGTGCAGGAGAACAGTGTCTCAAGGTGGACAGACCGACACCCAAGGTAGTCCTCTGGTCACATGCTGTAGCACTAAATAAATTGGGGCGAGTTTGAGATGTTGCAAGCAAGAAGCTGCTGTATCCCTAGCAGATCTATAGTAAGATTATAAGGTGTAAGAGAACAGCAGTACATGGGTATGCATGTAGGATTTACAACATGGGCTTTTGAGTTTACTTTAGCCTAAACCACCCCCACTTAAGTTCCAGGGGTGAGGAATCTCATACACCCCACCCCAAACTTCTTTGCTTCAAATGAACTGGGAACTAGGAACTAATGTAGCCTTGTCTGAGGATAGTTTGCCAAAGGTAATAAACCAAGTCTGTACTCTATATCTCCAGGACCCCAAACTGCCGCTCCAATGTCTGGTTTTACTTTTCATTTCCTGTTCTGAATTCTCAATGGAAAGGAACTTGTAAATTTGTTTTCTTGTATTTGGAACTCATGAACAGAGATTTTGTTTAATCAGAGTAATAACTTTATTTCCAAATTCACTTTTACAGCAACAATCAGTGTAAATCGTTTGTTAAAACACAATACACTACATGGACATTCACAGACAGGAAGCTAAGCTAAAATGATTCCATGTCCCTCCCCCACCCCCTCAAAATCACCAAGGAAATCATAGGACTTGCAAGCACTGGAGATCATGCCCAGCACAGTAACTGCACAGGCTACAATCCATCAGGAGGGTGAGACTGAGATACTGTCCAAAGTAACCCTTCCAGAAGCCAGAGAGAAGTTTGGAGGCTCATAAAACCATAGTCCTATAGTTGGTTACCACCTCTGCCCTGGGCCCCACTTATTTCACTGGAGAACAGACTAAAGGAAGAGGTCTTGGCTACTGCTAGCAGTTGTAGGCTGTGGATCTGAAGCCAGTCCAGAAGTGGTAACTGATGTGCCAGTGACTTAGAGGGAAGGAAGCCAGGGTTTTAAAGAGGCAGGATGGTGGGCTCTGGACACCAAAAGAAGGCAGCAGACAAGAGTAGTTCATAGATTCCTACACAAACCTGGGAGCTACACCTGGCTGGGAAGGCAGGGAACTAGCTGGCTGTCTCTGCCTTGGGAAAGCCTGTCACAAGCCTCTAGGCTAAAGCCATGGCACTTATCTCTAGGAAGTGGTCATAATCATGAAGGTTACAGATGGCTACACTCCAAGGCTTCCGTTTGCCCATGTGAAATATCTTAACATGTTCCTCCTCCCCCCCCCCCCCCCCCCATAGCACAAAGCAATCTCAAACAGGATACAGTCTTACCATTGTAGTCAGTTTAAATGGAACTATTGATAAAGTGAATTAAGAGCTTGGAGGAACCAGGCATATGGTATACCCTATCTAGCCCACCCTAAGTAAGACATTAGCTCTGGACTAGGGAGGCATGGGAAGAAAGGACAGGTGCTGTGCCCCTGGGGGATTGTCCTCACTGAAGTCACAAGCCAGACTCTCATTGTAAACTGCCTATCAGCCAGCACTGACCTGATAACTCCAAATAATTATTTTGGGGCTGTTCTCCCTACAAGAGATATTTCAGTGTCCCCATTCAAGGACAGGAACTGCAGAATGGACAATGGGAAGTAAGATAAAAACCAGAATAGGTAGCCATGATGAAGGGGCAATGCTTCAAGCCACACTTCCCTTTTCTCCATTGGGCCCGTCAGCAGCTGGGAGCTTCTCCATAGGTTGTTCTTTAATGGGAAAGGCTGGCTGCTTCCTTCTACCATCCACAGAGTCTGTCCTTAACTCCTTAACTGTATCCAAGCCAGAAGTGATAGAATTGGGCCTGAGGCTCCTATGCTTCTCCTGAGGCCTCTTCCCTGCAGCTGTAGGAGATGCTCATGCAAGGTCAGTGGGCTGACACCTCGGACACCAAGGGAGTCTCCTACAATGTCCCCTTCCTCAGTGGGGCAGTTCATCCCAAGCCCTGTGGTGAGGCAGCCGAGGCTTTGGAGAGGGCCCAAAGATGTCTTCTGGAGAACCATGGGGTTTCTAGGGCCACAGCTCTCGCAGCTGACACTGATGCCCTTGTCTCTCGGGATGCAGTAGTTATCAGCCCATCTTTCAGGGCTGCCGTGGGACGTGAGGCTGTGATTAGGCAGGACCATCTTCACTCTGCAAAACAGGCCAGCAGGAAGCGCTCCCTGACAGGTGGAGTCTCTCTGGTCCTGTGCTTCAGGCCCGGGCAGCTAAGAGACCTCCAGTGTCACAATCCAGTGTCTGTGAGGTCCCAGTTGCAGAGGAAAACTTTGAAAACATAGGATGTCCTAGCAGGGAAGCACTGCACTGGCCTGGAGCCAAGTCCCAGTGGAGCCAAGAAATACCCAGGACCTCCATCCCTGGTGGTGAGCTAGACCCCTTTGACAAATATTACAAGATACATGCGTCCTTTTTTTTTTTTTCTTTTTTTCTTTTTTCCTTTCTTTTCACTATCATAGTCACTGGTGAACCCAGACAAACAGACAAATCCAACTACAACGCACAGGGTGTAGACGGGGAGGGAAGGGCTGTATCTATGAAGATGTCTGACTGCTCCAGCAGGGCAGGCAGCACCGCTTCCATGGGGATTGGAGGAAAACATTCCCAGGGGGTATGTTCCCCAAGTTGGGGTGTGGAGGGCTGATTATGTGCACGGGGACTTACTGGTGGCTGGGCTCTGGGAGGCTAGCAATCACAAGCTGGGGTGGAAAAGAAGGATGAGAGGAACGTGGCCCTGCCCTGGGAGTCTTGTCTGCTCTTACTGGTGCCAACACATTGGCACCTGACTTGCCTCCAGCTCAACACGAGAAGAGGGCCAGGCCTACCTAGGAGGCAACCACTATTTAAAGTTTAAAACAAAAAAAAAAAAAAAAAAAAAAAAGCAGACAGAAGTGTCCAGGGTCATCTCCAGGCACACTGGTTGGATTTGTGGGATGTAGGACTAGAGACTGAGCTTCAAATCTTTGCTCTCCCTGGACTCCAGCTCTTAGTGTAGAGCAGGTACTACCCACATCTACCCAGGGCCAGGATGGGGGCGGGGAGGCTAAGCACTCAGGACAGTGAGACGGGATGAGAGAACGGCAGAGACTGGCTCTCGGCAGACACGTGGGTGTGATGGACAGGTGGAGGAGCTGCAGTGGCTGTGGGAGGGGTGGGAGGCCTGTCTGCCCCTCCTCCATCCCTCACCCTGCAGAAATGCCAGAGGACCAAGCTTGAGAACAGGCGGATGTCCCCAAAGAGGCACAAGTCCTTATGAAGAACTGGTTAGCCCTAAAGTCCCGGGTCTGTGAAGTGGCCAAAATCATGGCTGCAATTCCAAACTTCAGAACTCAGTAAAGCAGGGTTTTCTGTGAGAGGAGAATGAAGCCCCTCAGCTCAGGACTCCCACCCTACAGAGAGGGAGGTATAAACCAGTGCCCTGTGATGTCAAGGTCAGCCTTCAGAGAACCAAGCAACAAGGTACCACCTTCCAGCCTGGGCTGCCCTACAGAAGGGGCACATACTCCCCAGGGCCTTACCAAACAGGCAGTTGTGCCTTCTAAGGCTGCTGCAGGCCGCTGGGGCTACCTGTTCTTCCCAAGCGACTTGGCAGGAGCCTGTCTTCCTCCCCTCTCTCCTCTGATTCCCTGACACCTATCTCTCAGCCTTTGCTGCCTCAGCCCCGCTTCACAACCACACACGTTAGCATCGCCTGCCTGCCTATAGCTCCACAAACACACCAAGTTCCTAATCTTTTGTTGCTGCTGCTGTCCCTGATGCCCCTAGGGTGGGGCTGCGGCAATCAGTTGCCCTAGTCCCTTAAAACTCCCCAGAAAACAACCTTCAGAGCCTCCTTCACCCTCTAAGACTCAAAAGGGGTGGGGGTGGGGGTGAAATCAATAGCAATTGCCCAAGGAAATGTTGGGTTTGGCCATGTTTTTACATGTTTTTCTTAAAAAATATTTTATTACTAGCCCACGAATCAATTTGGAAGATGAAATTTACTCTTATTCCCATCACTGATTTTGAAGTCCCCAGCCAAAGCCGAGCCACAAAAGCAGGTTAGGTGACAAGCCGGTCGGCCGGTCTGTGAGGAGCAGCGGGGAGGGCAGAGGGCGAGGGGCCAGATCATTCTTTTTTTTTTTTTTTCCACACTCTCACTCTCTCTTCTCTCCACGATTATTGACTGCCCCAGGGGCCTGATCACAAACCCTGCTTGGCCAAAGAAGCGGAAACTTCATCGGCTAGTGTGGCAAGCTGCGGGGAGTCCACCATGTTGATGCTTCCCGTGGAGGACACATTGCTGAGGTGCCGTGGAGATGTGTCCCCAGACACCACAGGCGACTTGTACACGATTTCTGCTCCATGGTCTGTCTTGGCTTTGGCATTCTCCCGGAAGGTCAGCTTGTGGGTTTCAATCTGCAAGAAGTATAGAGTGAGATGGGTGACTGCCTGGGAAACGCAGACGAGCCCTGACTGACAGACTCTGAAGGGAGAAAGCATTCTTTTGTTTGTCTGTTTTCATTCATTCATTCATTCACTCACTCATATATGAATATATATATTTCTCTGCAGTTTTGGAGCCTGTCCTAGAACTCGTTCTTGTAGACCAGGTTGGCCTCGAACTCACAGAGATCCTCCTGCCTCTGCCTCCTGAGTGCTGGGATTAAAGGCATGCGCCACCACTGCCTGGTTCATTCATTTATTTTATTTTGATGCAGGGTTTCTCTGTGTAGCCTTGGCTGTCCTGGAACTGGCTCTGTAGACCAAGCTTACCTGGAACTCAGATCTGCCTGCCTCTGCCTCCTGAGTGATGGGATTCAAGGCATGTACCAGCACACCTGGCTGTTTGTCTAATCTTTCTACATTCGTGTTTGAGTGAATGTGTGTGTGTGTGTGTGCATGCATGTGCTCTAGTGCATGTGGGGAGATCATGGTTCTCTCCTTCTAACATCTGGGTCCTGGGGACCAAACTCAGGGCATCAGACTTGACTGCAAGCACCTTTACCCACTGAGCAATCTCACTGGCCTGGCTTGTTTTAAGGCAAGATCTTACTATTTAGCCCAGGCTGGCCTGGAACTAGCTATCCTTAGAAATCCCTCTGTATCTCAGTTTCTGAGATTACAAGTGTGTGCCACCAAGGTTCAGGCTTAATACTTGATTATTCCACAGAGAACTTCCTCATGCCAAGGGCTATTCTATCCCATTACAGCATCTACATCGAAATCTATCTCCTCCCTGACAGAAGTGGAGGAGGTTCCATTTCTCTGCAAGCACAAACAATGCAGAGTAGGAACAACCTCCAGTGACTTTGCATGCATCATTTTACATGGGTATATTATCCTAAATATGTATGACTATTTACTTATCTTTCTTTTTTTTAAAGATTTATTTATTATGTACAGTGTTCTGCCTGCATGTATGCCTAAGGTCTGAAGAGGGCGCCAGATCTCATTACAGATATTTGTGAGTCACCATGTGGTTGCTGGGAATTGAACTCAGGACCTCTGGAAGAGCAGCTGGTGCTCTTACCCACTGAGCAATCCCGCCATCCCTTATTTGTTTGTTTGTTTAATTGTGCTGGGGATGCAACCCGTAGCCTCAGGTATGCTGAACACACACCCCTTGCTCTGGACTCTGTGTTTTGCTAGATTGTTGCCAATTTGCTGCTAAAAGCACCAAAGGGGTAGCCACAAGAGAAAAGGGCCTGCTGTAGAATCACTGGTACCAGCAGTCACGGCTACACACTCTTTGTCCAAGATTATTAAGGTATTTTCAGGTGGCACCCACTAGCGCGGATGCTAGAAGTTGTAATGCCCAGAAGCCCTTTTTAAGAAATGATATCACAAGCCTGGGGAGACGGCTCAGTAAATAGGAGTGCTTGCTCAGCTAACACAAAGGCCTGAGTTTGAATCCTCAGCACCCAAATAAAAAAGCAGGGCAGGTCTGTGCATGTCTATAACTTGTAAACTCAGCATTTGGGGATGGAAACAGTTACATCCCAGAACCTCACTTGTAGCCAGTCTAGCAAAAACAGTAAGCTTCCAGTTCGGTGAGACACCCTGTCCCTGTCTCAAGGCAAAAAGGTAGACAGTGAAAGAAAGAGAAAGACACCTAATGTTCTGCTCTGGCCTCTGCATGTATGTACATGGGTGTGCTCACTTGCATACTCATGTACATGCAACACACACACACAGTTGGGGGTGCAGACACACAATGCTATAGCCAGGAGTCTAAAGGGAAGCAGAAAGCAGTCTGAGGCATGTCTCTACATAAAAGGGGTAGACACAAAATGTCTCAACCTTGTTCTGGATCCCAGACTTTGAGCCAAGTGTGCATATATGTATGCTACACACACACACGGTATTTCCATACAACTTCCGAGGTCAGAGACTCTAGGTGAAGAGTCCTTCTTGCTGGGAGCTTGAATGTGGACATTGAGAAAAATCAGGCGTTCGTATGCTCTTCTTTTTGGTTAACAGGGATCTTCCATATTATTGTACTTGAGAGAATCTTTCATTAAAATGTGTGTGTATATGTGTGTGTGTGTGTGTTACAGGGTCACTCTATTAGCCCCACCTGTCCTGGATCTCAATATATAGACCAGGCTGCCCTCAAATTCAACAGAGATCTGCCTGCCTCTGCCTCCCAAATGCTGAGATTAAAGGCGTTTGACCCACTATGGCCAGCTGTTTCTGGTTTTGTGAGATAAGGTCTCAGGTAGTCCAGGCTGGCTCCAATTCTGTGCAGCTTAGGGGTAACGAACTCCTGATCCACCTGTCTCCAGTTCTCCAGTCTTAGGACACAGGGACCTTCTTTTGTTTGGATCTCACCCCACCTCTGGGGTGCCGGTATTTCTCTGAAGGAGAAACAGGCCCGCACACTGAAGCTCTGCCTACATCAGGCCCCCGGGGGAGTCCTGCCTGCCCAGAGCTTCCCCCAGGGCATAGAAGTTCCCAGGTTGGTGGAGAGCTTCCCTTACCCAGGGAATCTCCAAGGCCTAGATCTGCTCCAGTCCTATTGGATCAGACTGAGGTAGAGTCAGGCCTATGACTGCCTATGGCTAAGAGGTCCCGTATAGGAGCGAAATACAGGAGGTTTTGTATTTAAATTGAGCGATGTGTGGCAGAAATAGCAGAGCTCTGGCCATTGATGAGGCTTTCCCACCTTCCCAGAGAAGGGAGCCTGCCCGGTAGCCCTCAGGTATGGCCTCCTTTCTTCAGCTTCTGTCAGCTTCCAAGACCGGAGGATCTCCTGCTCTCGGGCAACAAAGGTCTGTGTCCGCTTTGGGGTCCTAAAGACCAGAGGATCTGCCCTTATAGGCCATCTCGGGGAAGAACCCCTCAGCCTGCTGGCTGTGTGTGTGCCGGCCGGGCGCGGCAGCGGTTCGGGTGCCTCATGGTCACCAGGGGCTTTACATAAGCAGTGGATGCAGGCACGCAGCTGCAGAGGAAAGCGAGGAGCTGTGGGGACTTGCCAGGCAGGGGACTCCCAGGGGCCACCCAACATGGCCAAGTAGAAAGACAACTGAACCACCTTGGGTAAGTACCCTTTCTCGTGCTGGGCTAGGTTTGATTCCAGAAAATTCCCTCTGTTCAGTTATTTCCCGGGAGGACCCTGCCAAGGAGACTACCTGCACGATACTGGGCCAGGCAAGTGTGGAGGTGGTTTGTACCAAAGAGGAGAAGCCAGGGCAGCCCTACATTCATCACACCCTGTGCGGGGGCAAGAGGAGCTTGCTCGGAGCCACACACACCTTTGTGTGCCCTTACCCCACACATACCCACGTCTACTAGGTACCCACTCCTCAGCCCTGAGACAAGACACAGCAGCCTCAGTGGGAGCAGTGGGAGCACTTCTCTTCAGAACCGCAGACTTTGTCCTTTGTCTGTCTGGTGAGAATCTCAGGTAGTGCAGGCTGGCCTGAAACCTACGATGCAGCCAAGGGTGATCTTGAACCCTTGACCCTCCTGCCTCCACCCGGGATTACAGTTTATGCCCAGTCTATGCAGTGCTGGGACAGAACCCAGGCTCTGTGCGTGCTGGGCAAGCGCTCTACCAGCTGAGGCTCATCCTCAGTATTGCTAGTTTGCGCTAGCTTTCCTGGCAACCAGCAGAAAAGATCTGTCTTTGGTCTCATGCCGTGTTTCTTGGTACACTGAGCTCAGGGTGAGAACTCATCGCTAGATAGTCCATATGGGGCCTTCTAGGACCAGCCTAGCCTGCTCCACTAACCCCCCTCCCTATGTGACCTCCCCATTTGTCCCCCCCTTACCTTCTTATTCCCTCCTCCGGGGACGTGGGTGATATTATCCAAGGAACCAATCTTCGACTGCACTCTGTCCTTGAAATCCAGCTTCTCAGATTTTACTTCCACCTGGCCCCCTCCTGGAACACAACCCACACAAGAGCCTCTTGCCATCGTCTGTGGTCTGGGGGACTTAGCATATATTAAATGAGGTCACGGCCTGCAGAGCAAAGTGCCTGGGGCTGCTGGAGGCTTGATAGCAATTAGGTTAGTTGTCACCATCCTGGCAGGGAGCATTCATTAATGTGCCCATTCTGACTCCTGCAGAGGCTGGGCCAGGGATCACAAGCGCAGCCCACCCTCTGGGAGTTGTCGGGGCTCTGCTTTATCTGGAAGGAGGCTTGGCCACAAGGGAGCCCTTGTAAGGGCTTCCAAATCACCTGCCTCTTCTCTAATTGAGATGTACATCGGGTATTTACTCCACAAAATCTTTCTCCTGAGATGCTTCAAAGGTACAGGAAGCTTGGCCAGGAGAAGGCATGCTGAACTCTAAACTTCCAGCAATGGAGATTTTTCATTTGAGCATCCTGAAGCCACAGCCCCTCAAGACCTTGGAATCACATTGCATGTCAAAAGCACAATGAGGAGAGAGCCTAACCCTGTCTGCCTCTTTTTTTTTTTTTTTTTTTTAGGGTTCACTGACTTTACTGGTTCAACAATAAACCGCAAAAGGAAAGACGCTAGCTGTCACTCCGGGGCGTCATCCACAGATGTGAAAGACGTCCTTCGAAAAGCCCCCGTCTGCCTCTTTGACTTGGGTCACCACACCAGGGTGTAGCAGGAGGGGAGGTGACTTGTACTACTAACCTGGGAAGGGTGCTTTGTTTAAACAAAGTCACAGCGAAGGTAGGACAACAGCCCAGAAAGGTTTTATGTTATAGCTGTTGAAGTGACCCCCGTGCTGGCTGGGACAAAGCTGAGATGTCCACAGAGCTGGCCTTTGGGGGTCCAATCAGTCCCAAAACAGGCTGGCCCTGTTTTACAGGCTTTTCTGAAGAGCCGCACGATGGAATCTGGAACCCTCTCCCTCCACCCCTTGTCTAGGCTGGAAAAGCCCTGCTCAGGAGCCGGCAGGGACAGTCACGCCTCCCGGGTCACACAGCACCTTCCCATTTAATGTTTACTGCCCAGGTTGCCTTATTCCAGGAGGCACCTGCTGGCCTAGCCAGCACCTTCCCATCCCACAGCCTGCCTTCCTCAAGGGCTACCTGGTTTATGATGGATGTTGCCTAAGGAGCCGCACTTGGAGGTCACCTTGCTCAGGTCCACTGGCTTGTAGACAATTTGTACCTGCAGGTCAGAAAGGGTGGGAATGAGACAGAGAATAAAGGGGCTTGTGTTACTAGGGGGGGGGGGTAACACAAAGCAAATTCCAATGGACCACTTGCCAGTGGCTTCCACCAGCTTCTGATACACCCCACTTCAGGGAGGATAATATGCTCCCCAAATCCAGACAATCCCCATGCCCCCAGAAAACCGGGTCCTCACAAAGTGACTATGGGACCATCTTCAATCCCAGAAACCCAAAGACACTCTCAAGGAAAAACAGGGACGCCTGGTCCTTGATCACACTATTTAGCAGATATTTAAATATATAAACACAAATCTTTACACTGAGGAAAGACTGATCACACACAGTGGAGGAAGTGGCCTGCAGCCTCCAGATGATCTCCTCAGAAGGGACTCAGAGAGGAGAGGGGGCAAGGAGGAGTGAACATCCAGGAAACTCCCACAGCCCTGGACCATCAGGTGGCATGCAGGACCCAGGAGAGTGCTGTTACTCAGGGAAGAGCCATGTGGTGTCCCAGGGACACTTCATCCTCTACTGGAAAAAGCAAAGCGACACTAATAGGGAAGGCAGGCACACAGCAGAAATCACAGGCGTAGTGGCTCAGCAAGCGTGACACAGGGAGACCTGTCAGCCCGAGGACCCTTCATGTGGCGCAGCAGAAAGGCCTGCTCTGGGGAACGACAGTTGCGTCCTGAGAGAACACCCTGAAGGAGGCCACCCAGGTAGATGGGGCTCCAGGAAGCCAGTCTCTCAGAACTGTGGCTTGCAGCTTAGAGAGCTGGTCACTAACTGCCACCTTCCAAATGGGTCTCCTATATAGGCCACCAGTGGGGTCATTCCAGTGAGGGAGAGGGTCATCTCCTGTCCATGTGAGAGTTGGCAAAGCAAGGTAATACAGATGGCTAAACGGACAGACCCCTCTCATTTTCATGGAGAGCTGTGCTGACGGTATGCTGTGTTGTGGGGTGTGTGTGTGTGTGTGTGCGTGTGTGCGCGTGCATGTGTGTGCATGCGTGTGTGTGTGTGTGTGCAATGTGTTTCTTTTTCTGCTAATGGACTTGATGGAAGAGGCGGGCTGTGGCCTCACACATCAGTGTGCTGGGGTCACACGTCAGTGTGCTAGGGTGTCACCCTGCCCCTGTGAAAGTGGACGAAGAGCAGATGGTCCCGAGGACTTTCTGCAGACAGATCCAGGGTACAGTGGGAGTTCTGGGGCAGGTGATGATGGGAGAGCAAAGGGGTTGGCTCCCCCAACAGGAGAACTTGTGCTCTGTAACCCATGGGAGCCTGAGATCTCCAAGAGGAGACAGGAATGCTACCGCTACAGGGACCAGAGCCTCACTCTTCCCTCCGGCCCAGGTAGAGTCTCTTGAGAGTCAGTGGCAGGGTGTGGCAGGGTAAGAGATGTTGGAAGCCTGGAATGACCAGAGGAGGAAGGAATGTACGGGGCGTGGGGAAGCAGCCCTAGAGAGGAGGCCACAGCCCAGGCAGGAGGCACAGATGGAGGAGCAGCCTGCCTGCTGCAAGTCCCTCCACCCTAGCAAGAGCCACCAACAAGCCAGATGTGCAGTCCAGGCCAGGGATCCTGCAACCCAAAATGCCAGAGGCTATAACCACCAGCTCCCTCCCTCAAGAGAGCTTTCTCTACAGGTCCATCCTGTAGACAACAGTGGCCACAGGCCAAGGACAGTCCTCATGGTCAGCCCAGTTTATCTTGTGACTCTATATAAGGTCATAGGTCAGTCCACAGGCTGACACACTGCTGCACACATTAGGAAAGTTCCCTGACATCCTGGGCACTGGAGCCTCATCAGGCAACCAGCATGTGACCAGAGCTGCCCTGCGCTGGCTCTTCCCCATTTCCCCTGCAGGGGCATCCGCCCTCTGCAGCCCACTGGAGCCAGAGCCTTCAGTCCCAGCAGCAGGCCAGACATGAGCCAAACCAGATGCCCTGTCTTTCCTCCCCAACCACAGCAGGCCTGGGCTGGGAGGTCAACACACCCTAAATGACAACATTAAAGGGCCCAGGGACAAAGACAGCAACGGGAGTCGTTAGTGACCATCTCTTTCCCCCACCCATCTCTTTCTAGAACAGTTTACTGAGTGTACACAGAGAGGGCATCAGGCCGGGCAGTAACTACAGTGTAGCCAACAGCCGCGCCTCTCCTTCTGAAGCAAAAACACAAGTACAGGGTGGGGATGGCAGGAGCACCGTGAGTAGAGGACAGAGGAAACAGCAGACACCGTGAGGAAGCAGAAGAAGCAGTAGCCACAAGGCCGGCACTTGCTGCTCTGGGGCCAAAGGTCCGAGAGGCAGAAGGCAGGGCAGGTGCCAGGGCAGGAGGCAGAAGCACATTGCAAGAATAAACCCTGTGGGCCAGGGCACACAGTCACAAGATTCAGCCAGCAGGAACTCTCAGAGAGCCCGGGCTCCTCCTGGGACTGACCCAGAGCTGGGGATGAAGAAATTGGCCCGGAGAAACCCAGGTCAGTTTGCATATTCTGCCCTGTGGACACAGGCTAGCCAGGAGGACATCAGAGTCTCTAAGCCCATCAGGGAAGCCTGAGAACATCTCGCACGGACTCACTGCCGATAAGCTGGGTCCCCAGTGGTGTATAGAGGACAAATTTAAAACCCTAAGCAACTCTTCTCTGGCAAACCGGACTCGGGCAATAGATACCACCCGCAAGCTCTCTTAGGCTCTTTGCAGCCAGAATCCCTGTATTGGGTCGGGGGAGGGGGCGGGGGAGTGGGGGCTGGTTTTAAACTTTAACTGAAGATGGAGACCCAGATGAGAAATGGAGGGTGACTAGGGTGGCTAGGACCCTCTCTGCCCTTGACATGGGACAGGAAGTTCTTAGCATCTGCTCAGATCATATGGACCGTCTATCCACAGCAGAACTGTTCCAGAGATATAGCTCCGGAGAGGTGACAGTCCAGGCTTGGGTGCCACAGTCTTCAGCCAGTTTCTAGCAGGCTGTGGGGCTTCTAGGGACATGGGCACGGTACTGCCGGGACCCAGCTTCTCAGGGAAGGGCCAGCCGGAGCCAGCTGCTGTCCCGATTCTGCTGGGTTCTTCACTGAACATGGGGAGGGGAGTCTGGGAGCAGCAAACCTAAGTGTAGGGACACCAGAGGCCCTGAGCCTGCGGGGATTTATTCTCTGCAATGTCTCACAAGTACACACTTATGACACGTGTCTCAGCAAAGGCTGCAGCACACTGCATGGAGAGTGTGACCGTACTCACACTGCCGCCGCCCGGGACGTGTTTGATATTGTCCTTCGAGCCACACTTGGACTGGACGTTGCTAAGATCCAGCTTCTTATTAATTATCTGCACCTTTGATAGCCAGAAAAAAAGAATGAGTGATGACCACACCCAGCGCAGTGACTCCTGACCTGCGTGCTGCTGGGGAGAACCAGGTCTGAGCCCCGCCTCCTGGGGGGTGCGGGATGCAAAGAAGCTGCCTGAGAAGGCACAGTGCCAACCTACTAGACTCAGAGATCACAAAATGGATCTGAACGAAAATGGGACTGGGGACTCGAGAACAGATGTGGGAAGGTTGGGGTGGAGTGACGAGTGTAAACGGGGAGTCCCCTGTGTCCAGTTCTCAGAAGAAAAACAACAAACCCCCCAAAACCCACGCCAGTGCAAGACAGCGTATAAGATTCCTCGCGCCGCTGTAGAGTTGGAATGTGAAGGTTCCCAGCCAAATTGTCTTGAGTTGAGATGGCGGATGGTTTGGTGAGTGTGAAGATGGTGGCCACCAGACTACACACGTCCCCTCCTACATACGTACAGTGGCACACACACTCATACATGCAATAAATAAATATTTAAAAATACTTTTTAGCTCTTTTTTGGGGGGGAGGGGCCTGTTTTGAGACAGAATTTCACTATGTAGCCCTAGCTGTGCTGAAACTCACTCCATAGGCCAGTCTAACCTTGAACTTACAGAAATCTGCCTGCCTCTGCCCCCCAGGGGCTGGGATCAAGGGTGTGCACCACCTGACCAGCTTAAGTTGAAATTTAAAAAAATTTTTAAAACTACCTCCATTTATAATTTCATCCTATTGTGTTATTAGGAAACCTTCACTACACTATCATCAGATCAGAATATGTTATTTGGGGGTGACCTAAATTCATGTTCTGGGACCATGGTCACTCACATCTGGATTCAGAAGAAGCTCTCCTTCCCTTTGAGGTGGCAGCTGGAGGAGCTACTGGCTGTTCTCAAACTGTGGGGCACTGGAGAAAGTCTAGACCTAGCCCTGACCTAGGGTTTGAATATTGGAAATCTGGTTTAAGTGGATAAAAAAAGTGATTTTTTTTTTTTATCTTTTACAGACATGATTTCAGATTTTGGAAAGAGTCTCACATACCCCAAGCTGGTCTCAAAACTCAGTGTGTAGCTAGGCATGACCTTGAACACCAAGGTCTCCTGCCTCCAGTTCCTCCACAGCACTGGCTTACTGTCTGCTTCATAGCTGCTAGCCAAGATGGGTAAAAATTGCTCTCCAGAAGCGAACTCACTGTCTGGACTGTTCCTGGACTACCAAATATTTGCATCGACTCCATGTTCAGTATAAACAGCCCACTGTGAACATATCTTGGCAAGGAATGTTTCCGTTTTTGTGGATCATTTTCATGGCACAGACTCCTAGAAACACGACTTCTAAGTTGAAACGACAGGTGTTCTAAACACGCTCAAGCCAGCCCTCCAAATGGCCTCCTGAAAGGGCGCTCACCTCCCTGGACCCCCTGCTGACAAAGCCAGCTGCTTGTTGTGCTGCCCTCTGCGGGAGTTTGGCAGTGCCAGGCTCTCACAAGGTGAGTTCCTGAACTACATACATAGTGAGCTTCAGGCCAGCCTGAGCCTAGTATGATACCTCTGTAAAAATAAGCCAGCAGTGGTGGCATACACCTTTAATTCCAGCACTCGGGAGACAGAGGCAGGTGGATCTCTGTGAGTTCTAGAAAACTAGACCGGGAGCAGTTTAGAATTAGAAAATATAGACTCTGGAACTGAATAGAAGACCCGGATATCAATCACCATGCACAAAACTCAAGTCCAAATGGATTAAAAACCTCAACATAAAGCCAGCCACAGTGAACCTTATAGAAGAGAAAGTGGGAAGTACACTTGAACACATTGGCACAGGGAACCACTTCCTAAATAAAACCCCAGCAGCACAAGACACTGAGAGAAACAATTAATAAATGGGACCTCCTGAAACTGAAAAGCTTCTGTAAAGCAAAGGACACAGTCAACAAGACAAAACGACAGCCTACTCAATGGGAAAAGATCTTCACTAACCCCACATCAGACAGAGGTCTGATCTCCAAAATATACAAAGAACTCAAGAAATTGGACACCAAAATATCCCATAATCCAATAAATAAAAAACTGGAGTACAAGGAAATGTTCAACATCCTTAGTCATCAGAGAAATGCAAATCAAAACAACTCTGAGATTCCATCTAACACCTATAAGAATGGCCAAAATCAAAAACACTGATGACAACTTATGCTGGAGAGGTTGTGGGGGAAAGGGAACACTTCTGCATTGCTGGTGGGAATGCAAGCTGGTACAGCCCCTTTGGATGTCAGTGTGGTGATTTCTCAGAAAATTATGAAACAACCTTCCTCAAGACCCAGTCATACCACTTTTGGGTATATATCCAAAGGATGCTCAATCGTGCCACAAGGACAGGTGCTCAACTATGTTCATAGCAGCTTTGTTTGTCATAGCCAGAACCTGGAAACAACCTAAATGTCCCTTGACTGAAGAATGGATAAGGAAAACGTGGTACATTTACACAATGGAGTACTACACAGCAGAAAAAAATAATGACAGCTTGAATTTTGCAAAAAAATGGATGGAGCTAGAAAACATTATTTTGAGTGAGGTAACCCAGACCCAGAAAGACAATTATCACATGTACTCACTCATAGGTGATTTTTAAACATAAAGCAAAGAAAACCAGTCTACAAACCACAATCCCAGAGAATTTAGACAACAATGCACACACTAAGAGAGACTTACATAGATCTAATCTACATGGGAAGTAGAAAGTAGACAAAGAGAAGAGCTCCTGAGTAAATTGGGAGCATGGGGACCTTGGGGGAAGGTTGAAGGGGGGGGGGGAAGAGGCAGGGAGGGGAGCAGAGAAAAATGTAGAGCTCAATAAATATCAATAAAAAAAGAAAAAAAAGAAACCACAGACTCAGTTAAAACAAGGAGACATAAAAGGGTGGTGTCACAACACAGGGTAGTCACTGAGATAAGCAGTCAGGGCTGTTAGATTCAGCTCTGAGCTTCCTGGAAGCCAAGGAGAAAAAGGAAACACGAACGATTATATAATTCCTTATTTAACAAAGACAACAGTTTTTTGGAGGAAGGTAGCTGTCTTCTGGATACAAAGAAACCGAATTAGTCACAGGACATTAAGCAATCACATACAGAGACACACCCACCTCCCTGGGTGGTTGGTTCTTATTCTAACCTCGTAGGAAAAGAAGAAACACACTGTTGTGGGTTTTGGCATGGACAGATATTTACAAAGCAGACTAGAATTACGGTTAGTGGCCATGTTAAGCCAATGCCCTTTGCAGAGTGCGGAGAAGAGGGCGGTAGTTGGCATTGTGAAACCCGAGTCGTAGCAACAGTGGCATATACCGATCTGCCGAACTGGGCTTTGGCTCTGACTAGACACTGGAAATACCCCCGAGGGAGAGGATGTTTCCATCTGAGAGCCTTCTGTTCAGGAGGGAAGTGGCTGTGGTCAGGAAGCAGTCCTGAGAATCTGGTCAGGTCCACTTTAATTTACCCACTTCCCAGAGACCCCCAAAGCCATTTCAAGTCCTTGGTGGGCCTTGTTCTGGGTCTGCTTGGGTTCAGAACTGTTGGGGGATCCCTTCTTGGCCCCAAGCCTCTAGATGAAGGAGCTTTCAGACTGGTATTAGCAGCGCTGGGCTGGGCCTCACTTGGACAGTGGGCCAGGGCAACGCCTCATTTGGGCAATGAACCTGGCTGGTGTGACAGCTGGGCCCACAGAAAGCTCGGGGATGGATGCTGAAAGCCTGCTTGTATTCAGTCCAGTCAACCTGGGAAAGGCAATGAAGTACCAAGGCCAGCCACTGTTATTATGCTACTATTGTTTTGCTTTTTTTTTTTTTTTTTTTTTTTCGAGACAGGGTTTCTCTGTGTAACAGCCCTGGCTCTTTTAGAACTCACTCTGTAGACCAGGCTGGCCTCGAACTCACCGAGATCCACCTGCCTCTGCCTCCCAAGTACTGGGATTAAATGCATGCACCACCACTGCCCAGCAAGGCCAGCCACTATTAAGGCTGTCCTTTCAACGGTGACTGGGGACGTAGGCTAGTTGATAGAGAATTTTCCCAGCATGCATAAGGCCCTGGGCTCAAGCCCTCACATTGTATAAAACTGGATGTGGTAATGCAAGCCTGTAAATCTTAGCACTTGGGAGGTAGATCAAGAACATCAGAAGTTCAAGGCCATTCTCAGCCACAGGAGGCCAGCTTGGAATAAATGAGCCCCTGTCCAAAATATAAAATACATTTAAAACACTTCCACTTCCAACTCCTACCCCTAAATACACACAGACACACAGACACACACACACACAATTAAATGAATGTTAAAAATTTTTAAAAACTCATATTTCCATATGACCAGTGGTGAAGGAGAAGGAGAATGGGATGGACAGAAACAGAGAAATGGGCCTAGATGAGAGCTAGAAAAAGGCCAAGGGAGCAGGAAAGATAACTACTGCAGAGAAGCAACACCTGTGGGTGGTCCAGGAGTGGAGGCTGCTGTCTACAGCGCTCCATCGCCACCTGGTGGTCACCTGTAATATAGCAACCCTTTGCCCTTGGTGTTCCCAGGCTCTGCAAACTTTTGACTTGTGGGACTTTCAGGCTGTGTCCCGTGTGGGACTTGGAAATCTTCAGAGGAGCGCTCCAACTGCTCAGCCAACCAGGCTGCTTCCAGGCTTTAACACTAGCCAAAAACTAGTTTACAAAGAAGTGCAATTTCTTTCTTTCTTTTCGTTTTAAGACAGGGCCTCACTATACAGCGCTGGCTGTCTTGGAACTCACTCTGCAGACCAGGCTGGCCCTTAACTGCCTCTGCCTCTTGAGTGCTGGGATTAAAGGTGTGTGCCACCACCGCCCAGCCTGTTGTTGTTTTAAGAAATGGTGGCTCCCACAGGTAATCCCAGCACCCAGGAAGTAGAGCAGAGTGAATTCAAGGTCATCCTTGGCTTTGGAGTGAGTTCAAGGTTAGCTTGAGCTACCGGAGACCCGTCCCAGAATTA